CATAATTTCTCCCTCTTTGGATTAGTATGATGATTAAATAATGAGATCTGAATCCATGGAAAGGCTTTTATAAGGTGTTTGACACATAATAGGTGTTCAGTAAAGTTTTGCTGTTAGCAGTCCCTTCCTGGCACATGCACGTTTTTTCTGTTTGACTCTTTGAAAAGAGCATGTGTTTGAATGTATTTATGTGTTTTCCTCAATATGGCCACACCCTCCTCATAACCCATATCTCAGTTGGCTGAGAAGGGCCTGTTTGCTCTGCTCCTTAACTACTCAGAGTGGGGACGGAGTTTCTAGCTGGGTCAGTGAGCCCTGGAACTGGTTTAAGGGTTGCAGGGAATAGGGTTACAGGGAAATGTCAGCACCTCCCTCCAGTTGGGAAAACTGCCTCTCCCTTTTTGTGTCCAGGACTCATCACTAGAGCTGGGGTTGATAATTGTGGAAGCTGTGGATGAGGAAAATTAAACTCAGTCCTGCAGGGAGCAGGTCATAGGGCGTTTCACGGAAAAGGCAAGGCCATTTATTTGTGAACAGTTACTCTGTGCCAGCTGGGCACCGGGGCCAAGAACTGCAGGCACATAGTCTCATTGGTCATCCCAAGAACCCTGTAAAATAATTATGGGCCCATGTTACAGAGGTGGAATCTGGGATTCAGAGAGGTTAAGCAGCTTGCCCAAGGCCACACAGCTTCCAAGGGAGAACATGGAGTTCTCTGTTTGCCCACAAAGCCCGTGTGCCTTAACACTTGTGCCCTGCAGCCTCCTGTCAGCATGGCATTTCTGCCTGAGTGGGCAAATGGAATAAAGAATCCAGGAGGTTTAGTGTTAGAAGATAATCTCTGATAACCTCAGAGACAATCTCATTAAGCCCCAGGTTCCAAAGCTCAGAGAAAGGAAGGTGCTTGTTCCTGGTCACTCAGGCTGGAACTTGGGTCTCTACTTTCCTAGAAGTAGAGAATATTTCATCATTTCTTCTTGGTTCACTCCGGAAATCCTCACCTGCCTCCTCTCTCCCTCAGACTCCCTGTGGATTTTTTTTTTTTTTTTTTTTTTTTTTTTGACAGAGTCTTACTCTGTTGCCCAGGCTGGAGCACAGTGACATGATCTCGGTTCACTGCAACCTCCGCCTCCCAGGTTCAAGTGATTCTTGTGCCTCAGGCTCGTGGGAAGGGCTGGCAGGGTTCTGCAGACACAGCCACGCACATGCCTGTTGCTGGTAAAAGGATGAAAGTCATCAAGCCCTGGCAGTAGGAGTCAGAGGTTTTTTGTTGTTTTTGTTTTGGAGACAGAGTCTTGCTCTGTCGCACAGGCTGGAGTGCAATGGTGCAACCTCGACTCACTGCAACCTTTGCCTCCCAGGTTCAAGCAATTCTCCTGCCTCAGCCTCCCAAGTAGCTGGGATTACAGGCACCTGCCACCACGCCCAGCTAATTTTTGTATTTTTAGTAGAGACAGGGTTTCACCATGTTGCTCAGGCTGGTCTTGAGCTCCTGACCTCAGGTGATCCGCCCACCTCAGCCTCCCAAAGTGCTGAGATTACAGGTGTGAGCCACTGTGCCCGGCCAGGAGTCAGAGGTTTTTGTTGTTGTTTCTTTTCTGGGTGACCAGGAACTAATCTCTTCTCTTCTCTGGGCCTCAGTGTCCTCACCTATACAATGGAATAATCCTTTTCTTCCCACTTTGACGTTCTGTTCTTGAACATCTAGTGCTATAAAGAAGAAAGCATTTTGGGAAACCAAAAGGCTCTGTGTGGAACCAGGGCCTCACTATAAAATCGGAACATTGGCTTTGTGAATTGCAATTCGTTGGTAATAAGCTCCACTCTCGATTTTATTGTGCACAGGTATTAATTATCTCTGCGGGCTGCAATGCTGTGAGCACCAAGCTCGGTTATTAGAAGCCGGGTCTTTGTGTGTTTGAAACTCTACTGCAGCTCATCAGCTTTGTGACCTTGGGCAAGCTGCTTGGGCTCTAGGGGCCTCTGTTTACTCAGCTGTGAAATGGGGTTGTCACATCAGCCTCATTGGGTTGTTATGAGGGCTATGAGTCAGGCTTGGGCAAGTAGCTAGGTCGGGTGGATCATCCAGGATATATTTATTGTATTTCTATTATATATCAGGTTCTGTGTGCTGGGTCCTGGGGATATGATGATGAGAGCCTCACAGAGCTCCCAGTTGAGTCAAGAAACAGATGTTAGTCAAAGAATCACATACAAAATATAGTTCCAAATGGGGAGTCCCCAAGGAGGGCATGCTGGAGCTGAGATCTGGAGGTTGCCTAGAAGTTAACAGGGAAAAGAAGTGGGACTGGATGAGGGGAGGAGCAGGGCACATCTGTCCCAGGAAGAGCAAGGAGGCCTGGGTGGCAGGAGCACGCTGACCAAGGGCAGAGAGGGTGGCAGGAGAAGAGGCTGGAGCAACGGCCAGCCTATGGAGTTTCATCTTCTTTCTCAGAGCCATGGTAGCTAGCTGTGCGTCTGAAGCATGGAGCGGTCTTGTTTGGAAGCTTCTATCTTGGAAGATGGCATCGGTGCAGGGCGGGGAACAGATTAGTGGACCCTAGAGCTTTCCAGGTAAGGCCGATCCAGGGACCCACATGGGGATGCAGAAACAGGGACAGATTCTGGTGAAATTTAGGAAATGAAAAAACTGGGAGTTGATGATGGATTGGTTACGGGATGTAAGGGAAAGGGAAGCATCCAGGGTCACAGCTGATTCTCAGTATGTACCTGGGTGAAAGATGGGTCAAACTGAGGAGGGGTGGGTTTGGAGGGTGGCAATAGTAGGAGCTCAGTCTTGGACATGCTGCTTCGGTCTGCTAGAATTTGGCCTGTGGGTGGGGACAGTGATCTAAGAGGGGGCGGTGCATGAGCAAAGGCAGGGAGGAGGGTTGGTTGTGCTTGGGGGTGCAAGGAAATGGAACAGACTGCACTGCAGGTGGTTCTCCTTGGTGTTAGGTGGCTGCGCCTAAGATGGGTTTGGGGTTATCCAGGGGCCACAGGCCATGCCCAGCAATGGCAGCCACCTGGCATTGATAGCAGTGCTGCCTGGGTTAATGACCGGGGAGCGAGGGTGAGTGAGTGACAGGGTGTCAGGGGAACCCGCCCCTCACACAATGGCACACATGGCTGCCAGGGCTGGTAGGGAGGGGCCTCATTAGGGTTTGGCTCTGCTCCATGTGGGGCTGGGGGCTGCAAGGAGAGCCCTGCCACCCAGATGTGGGAAAAGGCAGGGAAGGGGATAGAGGGGTGGGCGATTACTAGGATGAGGGCTCCTGGTTCTAGCCCTGGCTACGCTAGATATTCACCAGCTGACCTTGGGAAAGTCCACTCATTCATTCATTCATTCATTCATTCATGGAATGCATTCATCAGCCATAAACAGTGTGCCAGGCTTCAGGAAAGGTATTAAGATCTAGCCTTTAGAGGAGACTGGAGACTTATACCTAAGTACAGCAATAGTTGTAGTAACAATAATAAAAAAGCTCATACATGACTATGTTTTGGGTGCCCTGCTGTACCCTTGGTAGGCATCTCCTCAGTGAATCTTTATAGCAGCCCCTGTGGGGTGGCTACTCTTCTTATCCCTTTTTACAGATGAAGAAACTGAGGCTTAGAGAGGTGAAGTTTCAAAGGTCAGAGCCAGCAAGAGATGAGGCTGGGATTTGAACCCAGGTCCACAGTGACTCTAAGATTTTTTTCTCTCCTACATGGCTGGTTCCCAAATCTGACTGCTTATCAGAATTACCTGGAGGGCTTTTTGGACAATACAGAGGCCTGATTTTTTTCCTTTTTCTTTTTGTTTTCTGACTCAGAGTCTCTGGGTCCTGGGTGGGGCCAGTGTTGGGAGCCTCTTGTGCTCCTGTGCCCCCTCTTCTGTGAAGATCCTGCCTCTCTTGCTTGACTCGCTCTGTCCCGGGTACACAGGGCTTGCTGTTCTCAGGGAAAGCCCACTGACTCCCCCACCTTGGCCTTTCCACTTGCCCTCCCAGAACACTGCCCCAGCCCTTCTTGTGGCTTGCTCTTGCCCCCCTCTTCCTTCCAGTGCCTTGTTTGAATGTCACCTCCTCATAGAGACTTTCCTGACGATCCTATAACCCTTCTCCTCCAACCCATTACTCTTGGACCCATGGGTTCTCTACCAGGGCCAGTCACCTGGGACACTTAAAATCTCTGATGCCCAGAGACCGACTCTGTTGGCCCGGGGTGAGTCCCAGGCTTCAGTGCCACCTGGCCCAGGACACGGATCATCACTCGGTCTCATTGTTCACAGCTCTCTCCTTGAAATTATACATGTGCTTGCTTATTGTCCATGTCTCTGCTAGAGTAGAGAGCAGGGGACTGGCCTGTCTTGGGTCCTGCCATATTCCCAGCACCTTTAAAAGCACCCGCCACACAGTAGGAGCTCAGTGAGTACCTATGAATGAAGGAATGGGATGCTGGGGCTTGAGAAAAGACAGCTTGACTGACCATCAGGATCAATCTGTTCCCAACATCTGGTGAACCCTTGGAGGGTTCTTACAACAGGGAAAGTTTACCTGATCTGCCAGTTTCACACCTCCATGCTGCCCAGAACATCCCACTCTGGCTGCAGGACTATCTCGGGGTCAGGACAGTGGGTTGAGATGGCAGGAATCGCCGCCAAGGCCTCCCTGAGATTCAGGTTGCACATTGCTAGAGTCAGAGCTGGAAGGGCAGGAGTAATGTTGAGTCTGAGCTCTCACCATGCATATGGGCCCTGAGGCCTAGTGACGGAAGGAGCCTCGGCTAAGGTCAGGCCATGGTTGAAGAGGGCCTAGGAGGTAGGAGCTACAGCATGCTGTGTGACCTTGGCCAAGCCTCTGACCTTCTCTGTACTTTAGTCTCCCCATCTGTACCTGCAGGGCCTGGGCTGAGATGATCCCAAGCCCAGGACGTCAGGAGTTTGTTCCCTGAGTCCTTTCCTGGGCAGCGCAGACTGCAGAGGGTTTGCAAGGGGTTAAGCTCCTCCGGCTCTTGCTCTGCACGCAGACAAACCCCCTCCTTCTGACAAACACTTGTAGGAAATCAGGCTGGGCGCTTCCTGCCGAGGCGAGGCGGCCTCAGCCGCCGCAGGGGCGGGGAGAGGTGGGGAGCGATGCTGGTCTGTGAGCAGCAGCTTGGGCTGGCAGAACGGCCTGGAGGCGGGCCAGGGCGCAATGGAGACAGGGGGCTCCCTGGGTTTGGAACAAAGACTTCACAGACAGGTCCCCTGAAACTGGGTCGGCAGGACGGTGGTGGAGCCCGAGAGAGGTAAGAGATCGGAACGGAGGAGGGCCCAGGAGGCCGCCTTCCTTCTGGACGGGCCAGTCACAGACTCTCTGGGACAGTCCAGGCAGCCGGACCAGCCCAGCCAGGAAGTTGCAGCTGCTGGAGCTGCACCGCTTTTCTCTTGGCTCAGGGGAGCCCGGCCTCCAGGGCAAGGGTGGTTTTAAGGAGGATTTCGTCAAGCCTCAGGATGCTAGATTCCAGTCCCAGCTCTGATTCTGATCTCTTGTGAACTTGGACAGGCGAGGCCATCTCTGTGCCTGGGGTGTCCTCGTCTGCACCTGGAGAGTTAGTGTCCTTGGTTGCTAAGGGGTCTCAGAGACGATGCAGGGATGGGGAGCAGGCCAGGAGGCAGTGACGGCGTAGGGAGGTGGTCCCAATCGAAGGAGTGGCCCCTTATGCCAGCTGTGTAAGGGCAAGGAGAGGAGCCAAGGACTGTCCGAAGACCAGCAGACCCAGCTCAGCTCTCGAGGATGGCAAGACCAGAGCTGTCAACAGCCAGGGCACGTTTCTCCTCGGCCTGTGCTGCTGGAGCGGGCTGGGGGCGGGGAGAGGACACACAGAGGGGGAGTGGCTGGTGCTTCCTTGTGGGACTAGTGTCCACATAGCCGGTGGGAAGCCCTTGAGAACAGCAGGTCTGTGCCCTGCCAACCGGTGGGTGGGGGGGATGGTTGAGCCCAACAACACAGCCTTTTTGGAAGGTCTGGTTACTGATTTGGGGGGGTCTTCCTTCCCCATCTCCCTGACACATCTTACAGCCTTGGTTTCAGAGTTGCACACCCCAGCTTTGAATCCTCTGCGGTTCCTGACTATGAGGTCTTCTGAAAGCCTGCCACGCCTCTGTGCCTCAGTTTCCTCATCTGGGAGGCGTCAGGGTGGTGGTGGGGGTAGAAGCACGGGGGCACCCTGGACAGCCCTGGCTGGATGGGAAGGGGTTGCAGAGGGCAGAGGGAGGCAGTGCGGGCTGCGTGGCTGGGCTGGCAAAGGAGAACCTGGGAGTCTGGGCAGTTCTGAGGGACTGAGCCATAAAGGGAAGGGTCCCTGGCTGTGGAATGACTGAGCAGGCGGAGAAGCCCTGTGTGGGTGATGGGGAAGAGGAGACCATCCCACCCAGAAACTGAAGATAGACACCTCGGGGGTCTATTAGACCCCTGAGAGAGCAGGGGCAGTGGCGGCTTGCGAGTAAGAAGATGTACAGAAGGAGGGTGCAGTGGCTGCTACTTCCTTGTGGGGCCAGTTTCTCCAGGGATGGCGGGGACCCTGAACTCCACAGCCCTCCCCAGCTCACACGGCTGGGGTCTTCACCAAACCCCACTCACTGCCTTTTAGGAGCAGCCCTGCTGCCCTAACGAAGGCTGGCTGGAACAACTCTGCCTTTACCTGGCATTCAGGCACCCCTGTCCATAGCTCTCCTTCAAAGCCAGGCCATACTTTCAGACCTCCGTGCCTTTGCCTATGCTGCTCCCTCTGCCTGGAATGCCCTCCCCAATCTTCTCCCCCAAATCCTCACTGTTCCTCAAGCCCACCTTAAAGCTTCCTTTGATAACGCTTCTGTATTGTACTACCCCCAACTGTTTAAAATTTTGGAATGCTTTTACTCTTTTCTACATTCTTTGCATCTTATGTAGTCCCTGGTATATAGTAGGAAGTCGTAGGGCTTTTTTAAAAAGTTAATTTGCACCCACAGGGTGCTCGGTATGTATCTTTGTACTTTGAAATGTGATCTCAGGGAGGAAGAGAGAAGTTAGCAGTTCTGAGGCTATTGCCCTCAGGAGCTGAGTCAACCAGGGACTTCAAATTCAAAGCTCTTTGCGTCTCATCCCCTGCCTCCCAACCCACCCTAGCAGGGTGATATCCCCTTGCAGTAGCAAGAGCAGGTGGTACTTTCTCTGTTTTACGGTGAAGAAAATGCAAGCCCAGCTATACACAGTGAGTAACAGCAGCCGGGACTAGCACCCATCTCCTGATGCCCAGCCTGCTTCTCTACCACAGCATCATCCCAACCTGAAGTTGGCAGGTAGTTGGCACTAATGTGTGTTTGTTGACTGACTAGCTGAATGGCCATTTCTGGGGCTTTGTGGTGCGGAGGGCCATGGCTCACATGGAAGACAGAGGCCTCGCTCAGGAAAGGCTCACTGGTTTAGGCGCTGGGGGCAAGTGTGAAACTCTAGCCAGTCACTGCAGCTGCCTCTGACCTGGTTACAGTGAGATTTCTGCCATGACTGAGTCATCCCAGAAGACAGGATGTTCCTCTTTGTGCACCCAGAGGCCTCTGTGATTGGGCAGGCTGCTCTGTGGCAGAGCTAGAAAAAAAAGCCCTTCAAAAAGTCCAAAAACCACATGCCTCCCCCGGCCCCTTCCTCAGCAGAGGCTTCAGAACCAGAAAAGCAACAGCTAAACTGTAGCCCCTCCTCCACCTGCCATAACAGCAGAAGCGAGGAGGCCTAGTGAACTTCAAAGGGCAGGCCCTGCCTGAGGCCCTGGTTTAAAATGCAGATTCCTGGGCCCTATCCCAGGGCCACTGAGTCAGGCTCTCTGCAGGTTGTTTCAGGAAACTGCCTGCTTAGAGGATTCTTAAGCACACTGAAGCTTAAGATCCCTGGCAGTGATTTCCAAGAAGGGTACAGGCCCTGCAGAAGGTATGAGAAGCAAGAATTAGAGCTTCTATTTAAAATATAGTTGACCAGCTGGGTGGGTGGCTCATGCCTGTAATCCCAGGACATAGGGAGGCTGAGGCAGGAGGATCACTTAAACCCAGGAGTTCAAAACCAGCCTAGGCAACATGGCAAAACCCCATCTCTACAAAAAAAATTTAAAAATTAGCCAGGCATGGCGGTACGTACCTGTGGTCTTAGCTACTCAGGAGGCTGAGGTGGGAGGATCGATTGAGCCCAGGAGGTCAAGGCTGCAGTGAGCTCTGATCGCCACTGTACTCCAGCCTGGGTAACAGTGAGACCCTGTCTCAATAAAATAAAATACAGTTGATCCTTGAACAACACAGGAGTTAGGAGTGCCTCATGCAGTCAAAAATCTGCTTATAACTTTTAACTCCCCCAAAACTTTATCAATAGCCTGCTGTTGACTAGAAGCTTTGCTGATAACATAAACAGTTGATTAATGCATATTTTCTGCGTTATATGTATTACGTACTGTTTTCTTACAATAAAGTAAGCCAGAGAAAAGAAAATGCTATTAAGAAAATCTTAAGGAAGAGAAAATCTACTTACTTTCATTAAGTGGAAATGGATCATCACAAAGGCCTTCATCCTGTCATCTTCATGTTGAGGAGGAGGAATGAGGGGGGATTGATCCACTGTCTTAGGGGTGGCAGAGGCAGAAGAAAATTCACATGTAAGTAGAGTTCAAACTGTGCAGTTCAAACTGTGTCATTAAGGGTCACCTGTGTTTATTTTATTTTTCTTTTGTATTTTCATTTATTTATTTATTTCGAGATGGAGTTTCGCTCTTGTTGCCCAGGCTGGAATGCAATGGCACGATCTCGGCTCACCGAAACCTCCGCCTCCCAGGTTCAAGCAATTCTCCTGCCTCAGCCTGCCGAGTAGCTGGGATTGCAAGCATGCACCACCATGCCCGGCTAATTTTGTATTTTTAGTAGAAATGGGATTTCTCCATGTTAAGGCTGGTCTCGAACTCCTGACCTCCAGGTGATCTGCCCGCCTCGGCCTCCCAAAGTGCTGGGATTACAGGCATGAGCCACCACGCCCAGCCTCCTTTTTATTTTTAGTAGAGATGGGCTTTTGCCGTGTTGCCCAAGCTGGTCTTGAACTCCTGAGCTCAAGTGATCTGTCCACCTCGGCCTCCCAAAGTGCTGGGATTACAGGTGTGAGCCACTGTGCCTGGCCAATTTTCAATTGCATCTTTTTAGAAAATCACTTTTGAAAGTATTCTTTCTAATACATGTAATATATTAGCATGATGTGTTCGAGCACATTTATTTTTACGGATGGGCTGTGTGATTAAAAACATATTGGGGGCCACTAGGCCGAAACTGACAACTGCAGATCTTGCTCTGGCAGGAAGTAGCCGGGTGATCTTAGCCAAGTTCTACCCTCATGTTTGTAGGGAGGGCAGATTGAGAACTTAAAAGTAAAGCTTCTAGCCAGGCTGGCGCCGAGTGGGCTCTTCACATGTGGCGGGGACTGTGGGGCTGGAAGACAACACGCAGGGTGATCTGGAGGAAATTGTGGGGCTCTGCATTTGGGGGTAGAGAGGAAGACTGGGCGGGGACAGAGGAGAGAAGCCCCGAACACCCATCCACAGAGCAGGAGCTGCAGCCAAGGAGGGAAGAATGGTATTCCCTGTCCCTCCCTCCTCCAGCCCTTGAGAAGTCAGCCTTTCCCGGGCTGAACTGTTCCCTAGGGAACTTTGTGTCCACAAATAGTTGCCTGCTGACTTTTCTCAGCCATACAAATCAAGCAGGATCCAAGTGCTCACGAGGATAAAGGGACAAACACAGACCTTCTATCCTGGGAGGCCTGGAGTCATACTCCCTTCGACACAGCATGCAGGGGAGAAAGCCCAGACTGTGGGCCAGGAGGCTGACTTTCGCCCCTGCCTTGTCCTGACCCATGTGTGGCTTTGGGTAAGGCCTCTCCCCCTCTCTGGACCCCAGTTTCCCCATCTGTGGAAGAAGGCCTTTGTGTGAGCCGCCCTGGGGGCCGCTGCGCTGATGGGCGGCAGTTCTCTGAACCCTCCATGGCAGGGAGCTCCCTGGGGGACCGTGCCCACTCTGGGTCAGCTTTGCACTTCCTGGACCTGGCTCAGTGCTGGCATAGAGGAAGCGCTTAGGGAAATAGCGGGAGCGTGGGAAGGAAGAGGCAAAAGGAGACGAGAGGGAGAAGGAAAGAGGGAAAGAAGGAGAGGGTTGAGGGAAGGCAGCGGAGGAGCCCTTCTCTGGCTACCCTGTTCCTGCAGCAGCCGCCTGACAGGTCCCTGTGTGGCCAGCCTCCCTGGTTCATTTTCCCAGAGCAGCCCGAGGGGAACTTTTAAACCACACCTCTGATGGGCTTTCCCTGTGTTCAATACCCCAGCCATCGGGGAAAACCACTCCCAGGTCCAGGAAAGCCCCGGTAGGCTTGCTCCCCGTCCCCAGGTCGCCTCACTAGGAAGGCTTTTTCTTTAAATTGAGGTGAAATTCACGTAACATAAAACTAACCATTTTTAGATGAACAGTTCAGTGACATTTAGTATATTCACAGTGTTGTGTAACTGCCACCTCCATCTATTTGCAAAGCATTTTTCTCACTTCCGAAGGAAATCCCATACCCAGCAAGCAGTGCCCACTCTCCTCTCCCCCAGCCCCTGGCAAATACCGTCTGCTTTCACTCTCCAAGGAGGTACCTTGCCTGGATATTTCCTATCCATAGAATCACACTATATGTGGCCTTTGTGTCTGGCATCTTTCATTTAGCATAATGTTTCTGAGGTTCATCTATACTGTAGCATGTGCTGGGACTTCATGTCTTTTCGTTTGAGCACCTGTTTTCAATTATGTTGGTTAGTGGAATGCTACCTTTTTTTTTTTTTTTTTTTTTCCCCTTTTGGGACAGGATCTCACTTTGTTGCCCAGGCTGGAGTACAGTGGTGCTGTCATGGCTCACTGCAGCCTCAACCTCCCGGGCTCAAGTGATCCTCCCACCTCAGCCTCTCGAGTAGCTTGTGACTACAGGTGTGCACAATCACACCTGGCTAATTTTTTGTAGAGACAAGGTTTTGCCATGTTGCCCAGGCTGGTCTCGAACTCCTAGACTCAAGTGATCCGCTCACCTCAGCCTCCCAAAGTGCTGGGATTGTAGGCGTGAGCCATCATACCTGGCCTGGAATGCTTTTTTCATCATCCTCCCCCACCTCTCAATCTGAATTCTTACCCGAGTGAGGTCAGAGAAGATTCTCAGAGGAACTAGCTTCTAACCTGGGATCCCCAGACTACCCTGGCCTGTGTCAGGGCAGCCCCCGTGCCTCCTCCGGCACGTCTCACCTGGATTTGTAGTTGCCTGGTGATCGTCTGCTTCCTCCTGGGCCGTCAGTTCTCCAGTGAGCAGGGCCTGTGCCCCATGCCCACACGAAGAGCCAGTACTCAGTAACACTAGCTAGGATGCATTCAACACCTGTTGGTCGGTGCACTGGCCGCTGGGCTCCTCATCGTGTGTCTCATCTAGTTTATAAAACCCTGGAGGGGGCCGGGCATGGTGGCTCACGCCTGTAATCCCAGCACTTTAGGAGGCCGAGGCGGGTGGATCACGAGGTCAGGAGTTCGAGACCAGCCTGGCCCATATGGTGAAACTAAAAAATACAAAAATTAGCTGGGTGTGGTGGCGCACGCTTGTAGTCCCAGCTACTCAGGAGGCTGAGGCAGGAGAATCACTTGAACCCGGGAGACGAAGGTTGTAGTGAGCTGAGATCATGCCAGTGCACTCCAGCCTGGGCAACAGAGTAAGACTCTGTCTCAAAAAAAACAAGCAGACAAAAAAACAACCCTGGAGGGAGAAAGGAATTATTATCCCAGCTTTATTGATGAAGAAAATGAAAGCAGAGTGACTTGCCCAAGGTCACACAGCTTTGGGAGGACGCAGCCAGAAGTTGAACCGGGGCTAATTCCAGAGTTCTGCTGGTAACTTCTTGTTCCAAATAAAAGAGGGAATCAGGAGAATTAATGATATTTCTTGAATGTGTTCCTGACAGGGCACAGGCAGGATGGCCGATGCCGACAGGAGCCAGCGGTGACTCTGGGGCCCCTGGCAGCAGCTCTGTCTCCTGAAGATGAAGTGGCCCAGGTGAAGCTCAGGCCAACCCCGATGGCCAGCTCGGAGACTGAGATCTGCTGGGTTGAGCCTGGCCTGGGGAAGGGTCCCCGGCGGCGGCACTGGGCCTGGGCTGAGGACAAGAGGGATGTGGATAATGGTTCACAAAGCTGGGGAGAAGAGGGACTCTTTCCCAATGCCACCAGCCCCGAGCTCCTGGAGGACTTCCGCCTGGCCCAGCAGCACCTGCCGCCTCTGGAGTGGGACCCGCATCTGCAGCCCAATGGGCATCCGGATTGTGAGTCAGGAGAGACTTCAGGAGAAGGTGAGACTGACATCCCTCCCCCTACGGTGGTGTCCCGTCCCCCACATCACATGTTCTAGCAGGCGGGAAGGGAGTGGAGGTTGCTTCAACATTTTCAATTAAATTCTACAAAGTCTATAATTTAAAAATTTAAAAAACTTAAATTGTATAAGTAATACCATTCATTGCAGAACAACCAGAAAATATAAGGCGCAAAATTAAGTAAAATTTAAAATTACTCATTGTCCCACTCCATCCCCAGATAACCACTGTTTTCCATATGTGGAATTATGCAAATGTAATGTGAATATGGAACACTATTCTACATACTTCATTATAACCTGCTTTTTGGTTAACTTAATAGATATGAACATTTTCCTAGTTCATCAAATCCTCTCCCACAAGTCATTCCTAGACTTCCATGGGTATCCGTGGTTAATCGGCCAGTATCCTACTGCTGGGCATTTTAGTAGTTTCTAGATTTTGCTGTTATAAATAATGCAGTGATGAATGTCATTAATGTATCTTTGCACACTTGATTTGCTCATAGCTCTGGTAATTTGAATTACTTAGTCTTTGGGTTGTGTCCAATTTTTATTTTATTTTATTTATTTATTTATTGAAGCAGGGTCTTGCTCTGTTGCCCAGGCTGGAGTGCAGTGGCATGATCATGGCTCACTGCAGGCTGACCTTTCGGGCCCAATCAGTCCTCAGAACTCAGCCTCTCGAGGAGCTGGGACTACAGGTGCATGCCACCACACCCAGCTAATTTTTATATTTTTTGTAGAGACAGAGTCTCACAGTGTTGGCCAGGCTGGTCTCAAACTCCTGGCCTGAAGCGAGCCTCTCACCTTGGCCTCCCAAAATGCTGGGATTATAGATGGGAGCCGTCATGCCTGGGTATTTTTAAGGTTTTTAAAAATTCCAATTAGCAATGGGAATGTTGGCATTTCTTGTTTTCTACAATAACTATGTTCTGGTTGCATCCAGACGAACTTAGACTAAATTCCTCGCTTTGCTTAGCAAGTTCCTTCTGCCTGAATCTTGCTTTTTCCATCTATAAAATGAGAGGAATCATATCGTAGAGAATAGTCAGAGCTGGATACATGGTAGTGATTGCGCTTAGATTACGAGCGAGATGCCCCTGTTTTAGGGTCCTGAGACTCTCGCAGGCTGTTGCGGTTGGTAGAGAAGCCTCCTCTGGTAGCGGATTGTGCCATTACTCAAAGTTTCACACACCTGATCTGCTCAAAGTGAGCACTGCCCACTGCTGCCCACTGAGGAGCCATTTCTGAGCACTCTTTCCAGCAAGGGATGGCAACTGAGATGCACCGGGTGGACAGGGCAGAGGCATCTCTTCCTGGGGTCACATGGTAACCCCCTGCTATGATGTAATAGCTGCTACCCTGTCCTGTGCCTTTACTATGTGCCAGGCACAGGGCTGGGCAGGGTCTGGCCCTCTCTTGTTCCCTCCTCACCACCCTCTGTCAGGTAGGAGGAACTAGCCTCAAGTTTGACTGTGGATTGCCAGAGAGGTCAGCAGCTTGCCCGTGGCCCCAGTGAGGGGTCACAGGAGCCAGGATTGAACCCAGGGCTCCCTAGCTCCAAAGCCCAGGCCTCTTCACCCCTAGTGCGTGACCCCTAGTGGTGGAAGCAGACTCACCTGCATGACTGGGGCCTGGGTCCCAGGTCCAGGGAACCACTGGGTGATCTTTGGCAACTTACGTAACCTCCCTGGGTTTCAAGTATGTTGCTGTAAGCAAGAGTAACTTGCGGAAGGAGATGTTAAGTGGTTAAGAGATGTAGAGGCATCAAGGGTAGGGGAAAGAGCATGGGGGAGTAGAGAGTGACACGAAGGTGCATCTGCCTGAACAGAGAGTCTATGCCTGGTGGTACCCAAACTGTGTCTCATGAAACTTTGGACCTATTGCAGAAGTCAACACGGGGTCTAGAGCAGAGTGGGTGCTCCGTAAACAATGACTGCATGGATGGTGGTTAGATGCATGGATGAATGGACGGGTGGGTGATGGATGGGTGAATGGGTGGGTAGATGGATGGATATTGGGAGGAAGCATGGTGGGATAGATGGCTGGGTGGGTGGATGGATATATATTTATTGAGTACTCACTATGTAATAATTACAGTAACTGTCTACTTCTTGGGAGCTTTATATACCTTATCTTCCTCCCTCCTTCCTTCCTTCCCTCCCTTCCTCGCTCGCCTTCCTTTTCTCCTTCCTTCTGTTCGGTCAACAAATAGTGTCAGGTACCAGCACTGCAAATCCAATCGTGAACAAAACAGAGAGCATCCTTGGCTTCATAGAGCTTGCAGTGTAGGGGGTGACACACATGTCAGTGAAACAACCACACAAATAAATGGAAAGCAGCTGCTATGATAAGTGTTACAAAATAGAGGTAACCAGTCCTGTGAGGGCCTGTAAAAGGGAGAACTTGACCTAGTCAGGGAGATCTAAGTCTTCCTTGAGGAGGCAGAGGTTGAGCCTGAAGGACAGATAGGAGTTAACTAGGCCAAGGAGGAGAGAGAATCCCCCAGCAGAGGGATGCGCACATGCGTAGCCCCCATGGTGGGAGGAGCGTGGTGTGCACATAGCAGGAGCAGGGGGAGCCTGAGGGGCCACGGAGAGAGATGGATCAGGAGAGCTAATGGGGCCGGGGTGGCAGCGACCTTAGGACCATAGTGAAGGTTCTGCTTTTCTTCCACAGGAAGACATGGATGAGTTTTCAGATGGGGGATGTGGGTGAGGACGGAGGAGATGGTTAGGTGGCTACTGACTGCAGTTAGCCAGACAAGAGAGGATGGGACACGAGCCAAGGTAGTGGTGGTGGACTTCAGAGTCATAGATGAGTTTGCGATTTTTATAGGAGGTAATGGGGCAGGACCAGGTGACAGATTGGATTCAGGGGGTTAGAAGGAGAGAGACGGCAAAGACGCCTCCCAGGCTGCTGGCCTGTACACCTGGAGGGGATGGTGTTGCCATCTGCTGAGATGGGAGACACTGGAGGGACCGGGTTTGGGTTTGAGTTTGAAGGACCTCTGAGACAACCAGATCAGGTATCAGACAAGCACTTGGCTATGTGGGGGGCTCCTTGGGATTCTTTCCATCCCCATGTGATGAGGAAATGGAAGCCAGAGAGTTGAAGTGACAGGGTAAGTTACATGGTGGATACAGACCTGGTATATGCTAAGAAGTGAATGGCCTGTCTTTCCAGAGGCTGAAGCAGAGGATGTGGACAGCCCAGCAAGTTCCCATGAGCCTCTCGCCTGGCTCCCCCAGCAGGGCCGTCAGCTGGACATGACTGAAGAGGAGCCAGATGGGACCCTTAGAAGTCTGGAGGTTGAGGAGGCTGGAGAGAGCTCCCCAAGGTTGGGGTATGAGGCTGGTCTCAGCTTGGAGGGCCGTGGAAACACCAGCCCCGTGGCTCTTGGGCATGGTCAGGCCAGGGGCTGGGTGGCTTCTAGCGAACAAGCCAGTGGGGACAAACTTTCTGAACATTCCGAGGTCAACCCATCCGTTGAGCTCAGCCCAGCAAGGTCCTGGAGTAGTGGGACAGTGAGCCTCAACCACCCTAGTGACAGCCTTGATTCTACCTGGGAAGGAGAGACCGGTGGCCCCCAGCCCACTGCCCTGGCAGAAACCTTACTAGAGGGCCCCAGCCACCACCTCCTAAACCCAGATGACAGAACTGGAGGCAGCGTTGCTCTGGCAACCCCCATGGAATTCCAGGACTCCTCAGCTCCCCGAGCCCAGAGTCCGCAGCCTGCCGCGGATAGATGGAGGAGAGAAACGACCAGATTCTCCTGCCCTCAGCCCGAGGAACACATCTGGAAGCAGACAAAGACGTCACCTAAGCCACTCCCTTCCCGATTCATTGGCTCCATCAGCCCCCTGAATCCTCAGCCCAGGTCAACACGGCAGGGCAGGCCGCTGCCCAAACAGGGAGCCACTCTGGCTGGCCGCTCCTCTTCTAATGCCCCCAAGTATGGCCGGGGGCAGTTGAACTACCCACTCCCTGACTTCTCCAAGGTAGGGCCCCGGGTGAGATTCCCCAAAGATGAGAGCTACCGTCCCCCCAAGTCCAGAAGCCACAACAGGAAGCCTCAGGCCCCTGCCAGGCCCCTCATCTTCAAGTCACCAGCTGAGATTGTGCAGGAGGTGCTGTTGAGCAGTGGAGAAGCAGCCTTGGCAAAGGACACGCCTCCTGCCCACCACCCCATCACCAGGGTACCCCAAGAATTTCAGACGCCTGAGCAAGCCACTGAACTGGTCCATCAGCTCCAGGTTAGTGGGACTTATGGCTGTGGATGTGTCACCAAGGCCCCTGTTGGCTTAGGGTGGAGGCTAATTGGGGTGGGGAGGCCTCGAGTAGAGGCTGGCTGGGGTGGAGAGGCCTGGGGTAGAGCCTGGCTGGGGTGGGAAGCCCTGGGATGGAGGCTAGTGGGGTGGGGAGGGCTGGGGTGGAGGCTGGCTGGGGTGGGGAGTCCTGGGATAGAGGCTGGTGGGGTGGGGAGGCCTGGGGTGGAGGCTGGCTTGGGTGGGAAGCCCTGGGGTAGAGGCTGGCTGGGGTGGAGAGGCCTGGGGTGGGGAGGCCCTGGGGTAGAGGCTGGCTGGGGTAGGGAGGCCTGGGCTCTGGGCTAGGAACTCCATGCTGGTGCAGGGAGGGTATACCTGGAGCCCTGAGATAGACCTAAGCCCTTTGCTCAAAAAGACCAGTGATTGTACTCATGTTTCAAGGATGATCTGTTGAAGTGATCATGTTTCAAGGGAAATAGTCATGTTTCCCCTCCAGACCGCGAGCTCCACGGGTGTGGGGAGTTTTGGCAAGAGCATATCATAGGTGGCCTGTGTGCCTCCTTCAGCAAGCACAGGATGCCTGCTGGTCTCTTGTTTGTGATTTTGACAGCCTCTGATGGTCATTGTCTTGGTCTAGTCTTTCATTTGGGGTGACAAAGTGGTAGTATGCTAATGCTCTCACTCCTACATTAATTGCTGGAAATATGCTAAAAAGTAAAAGTGTCCCTCATCAACTACTTGGTTACCAAGTTCTTGCTTGTACGGGAAAGGTCAGCGAGATGCTCTGTTCTGTCCTTTTACTGTTACCGTTACTGACCCATAATGGTCCTTCGTTACTTAGTTACTGACCCGTTTTCAGAAGGAGTCAGTTCCTCACATCCTTCAAAGGTGACATGCTTTTCCTTTTTTCCTGCAATGACTTGTTTTTATAAAGCTCTTTGGGTTTGTTTAAGGCAAGTGACTGAGTAGGTGGAACAGTGATTTTCAAGCCTTCTATTTTTCTGCCACGGGACTCTTGGATGATTCATTCAATTAGCCATTGAAGAAAGTACTTCTTAAGCACATGCTGCTTAAACACCGACAGCGCAGCAGGGGGAAAGACAGATATGGGCCTCACCCCACAGAGCCAACCGATGGGCAGGGCATTTGGATAAATAGAATCGTGGCAGCCATCTGCGATGTGGGTCATGTGTCAAGGTAAACCAGCCAGAGGCCCTCAGTCTGGACTCGTTGTCACGGAGGTAGAAAAGTTGTCCCACTGCCCTCTCATGCTCCAGAACTTGAACGTGGTGGGTCTGTGTTGCACACAAGCCTGAAGATTGCTCAGCTTGGATCCCACCATTGAATGGTTTGCTATCAGGGTCTCCCAGCAAGGAGGGGTGCATTGTGTGCCTGGGCATATGACCGTGTTGCTCCCCCTTTTCTGCAGGAAGACTACCACAGGCTTCTCACCAAGTACGCTGAGGCCGAGAACACCATCGACCAGCTACGCCTCGGTGCCAAGGTACCAGGCTGGGATGGGGTGGAGGCATGGGCCCAAGTCCCCGAGGAGATGACACTTTTCCATAGCTCTAGAGAAAGGCCACTGCCTCCTCCATCTACTGAGGCCCTGAAGTTAGTGGAACGCCAGTTTGCTTGTACCCCAAGGTCCCTCTGTGACCTTGGGCAGTGACCTTGCCCTCCCTGGGCTTTCTTTTTTTTTTTTTTTTTTTGAGTCAGGGTCTTGCTCTGTCACCCAGGCTGGAGTGCAGTGGCATGGTCATAACTCACTGCAATATCAACCTCCTGGGCTCAAGGGATCCTCTCGCTTCAGCCTCCCTGGTAGCTGGGAATACAGGCATGCATCACTGTGCCCTGCTAATTTTTTTTTTTTTTTTTTATGTTTTGTAGAGACGGGGTCTTACTTTGTTGCCCAAGCTGGTCTCGAACTCCTGGGCTCAAGTGATCCTTCTGCTTCAGCCTCCCAAAGTGCTCCTGGGATTACAGGCCTGAGCTACCATGAGCCCAGGAATTTCATAAGACTCTCTCTCCTTCTAGATGGGCTTGGGAGTAAGGCCACCTGGGTTCGACTCCTGGCTCCATTGCTAACCAGCTGTGTGACCTTGAGGAAGTTACTTGGGCTCTGTGAGCCTCAAAAGAGTAACACGGAATTTCTGCTCAGCCCCTGGTGCTTGTTCTTTGGGCCTGAATCTTCCTGGATCACACCTTTGCCTTTCTCCCTCCCCACAACCTCACCTGGCAGAGTATGGGGCAGGAGGAGAGCAGAGGGGAAACCCACCACCCCAGCCCCCACCCCGTCTTAGGAGGAGGCTGTGAATTCTCCATCTTCCTCTTTCCTGAGTGAGGCAGGAAGTGGGACCTGTGCGGCCCCTCGTGGCTTCCTGCTTTTGCTGTGCCCTCCTCTTGCCTCATCAGGCAGCAGTGGAGGAGGGGTGAGAGCTGAGGTGCAGAGATGCAGATGCCCCAATGCCTCCCCCCCCCGCCCCCCGTCATGCTCCAGGACCCCGCCCCCGCCACAGCTGCTGCTCTCAATGCTGAGAGGCACTTCCGGGGCGGGTGGGAGGAGGCCACTGTGGTGAGGAAACGGAAGGGGGCCTGTTCTAGGACCAGGAGTCCCCCTGCATCCCCACACCTGCTGCCTGGCACAGGCAGGCCCCTTCCCTCTTGGCCTCATCGGGCACATCTGTAAAAGAGGGCTAATCAGACTTCCTCCTGGGAGCCAAGTAGTCTCCTTCCAGCTTTTTGAACTGCTGAGCCAGATCTAGGGTTGGAAGAGACGGGGCAGTCGGGAAAGGGAGTGGAGGGGGTTTGTTAGGTCATCCTCTCTGGGGAAACCGCATTCTCATGGCTGCAGACTCCAAGCAGGTCCGGGGAGAAAGGGACTGGTCATCAGACCCAAACACTCGGCTTCCCCATTTGACAGATTGGGAAACTGGGGCTCCCGTTGGGGTAGGGGCCGCTGACGGTCATGGAGTGGTGGGAACTGAAGGCGTGGAGCGTCTCCACCCTCCCTCCTCCCTTCCTCCTGCGCTCATTTAAGGGCATGAGTCAGTATACAGAAAGCATTTACCTGGCACTAGGCAGGCACTTCGTAAGAGTTAGGGAATATTATTATTATAAAGATGTTTACTGCTAGGCCTCTTGTATGTCAGCCACAGTGACACAGGTGGGGTGGACACAGTGTAGTGCAGCTGGGGTGCCTCCTCTTGTGGGTGCTCCCTTGACCCTGTAGGACTCAGGGTCCCCCCCAAGTGTGGTCACCCTGCCCTGGCTGGCACCCAGACCCCTGGCTCATGTGTGTGAGGGTGTCACAGGAGGAGAGGCCGGAAATGGTTCTGTGTCAGCTCACTCACTCCCACTTTCTGGAAAAATGATTGCTATTGCTTGGCCTGAGGGCTCTGCTCCCTCCCCCAACCCCTCTCTCAGCCTCACAAAGTATGAGCACCTTTCGGGGCTCTGCCGGAAGGAAGCAGGATGATACTATCACCTCCCGCCCAACCCCATCTCACAGCTGCCCTGGGGGAGTAGTACAAGGCAGGCTTGCAGCTCCAATGTGCAGAAGAGAACAGAGCCCCAGAGCAGGGAGGGGATTCACTCAGGGTCCATGGGGCTTGAGGAGAGCTGAGATTCCAGCTGGCCAGCCTTCCTCACTCCGTCTGGACCTCTGTGCACTCTACCCCGAAGGCTGGAGAGACCCCAGGACAGCCTTTTGCTCAGAGCCCACGAGTTCAGAGGCAGTTCTCAGACCTCCCAAGGACCCACCGAGCCACTTCACTCTGCTCAGAACCCACGGCGGAGGGCTGGACCCACCTGGGAGGGAGCCGCGCTGGGGATGTTGCACTGGACACCCCATCTAGGCATGGTGGGTAGGTGGACAGCAGTGGGTGGGGACCCATAGGAAGGAGATTGACATTCACTGAGCAGCAACAGGTATCCCACCCTAGGTGCAGGGTCATCTTATTTGAGCCCCTCCACACACACACTGAGGTTCAGTCAGGTGGAATGGTTTGCTCAACATCCCATAGCTGGTGCAAGAGGCAAAGCTGGGATTGAAACCTACATCTGCCTGATTCCAGAACAGATGTTCTTTTCCTCAAGTCTGGGTAAGCCCTGGCACCCAGGCCCTGGCACTGGGTGTGGAGAGAGGCATAGGGATGAGGCGGATTGATGACCGTTATAGAAATAAGAATGGTCATAGGTGATGTTTATGGACCACTGTCCTAAATAATTTGCAGTTGGGGAAGCTGAGGCACAGAGATGTTAAGTAACTTGACCAAGATCACTCAACAAGTAGGTGCCAGAGCAGGAGTTGGAACTCGGCAGCCTGGCTCTGAAGCCCACGAGTGACACCACGCTCTAGCAGAACTAGACTCGGTAGTTGTGGGATCTGTAGCCGGGGAGGCCTGGCCCAGGAACACGGATGGGTCTGGAGCCTTGGGGTTGGGGCAGGACCAGGGAGCCCAGCTGTGGGGCAGGGAGCCAGGACTGGTCAGGAGTCACTGGTTGGCTCTGTTCTCTACACTGGCCTCTGGCCAGGGTTTATGGTGATCTCACTGCATTTGCTGCCATGTTGCCACCTCCCCCCAGCCCCTGTTCCTCCATCTCAGCTGAAGAGAGATCTGGAAGAGCTGAGGTGACCAGAAATTACCCTAGAAGGAATTACGGAGATAATGTAAAACCACCCTTTTTCAGTGTGTTCTGATGGCCACAAGTTGGCCCAGAACCCCCTGGGTGGGGATGGGGGGAAGGGGAGGTTTCTGTATGCAGATGAGTTGGGGAAACATCTTCCTCTCTCTTCCTCCTCCCCTCCCGCCCTATTCATAAAGCCCATTAGCATTTTAAAGGCTGAGAGAAATCCATCTGTGCAGAGAATATTCATTTGTTTAACCCAATGTTTCCCAAATTTACGGGTCCTCCCTTCACAGAATTCTGATTCACCTTTTACAGAATCCCCCGAGGGAGTGAATCCGGCCTTGGGGAGCACCCGGGACACCTGGCTGTGTCCAGGGAGATGGGCCCTGGGAGGGCCAGGCCCGAGCAGCTGAAGCTGCCACCCGCACCGCCACTCCCCACCTCATGGCTCTGCCTGGGCATCTGCTCAGGTTTTGGGCTTCTCTGCTTCAAACTCCTTTTTGGTCCCTGAAACAAAGGGGCCTGCTGGTTTCCCTGGCCTATCCCCGTTCCCTGTCACTCCCCAGGTGGGGCCTGAGGCTGAGAAAGGGGTCTGGGGAGGGAAACACGTCAGAGGGCTGGGCCTCCCCTGGGATTTGGGTCACCTCAGGAGGGGGGTGCTGATAGGAAAGCCCCCACAGGGGAGTCTGAGCAGATGGCTGAGGGGATTATTAAAATCCAGCTTTGTTCTCATCTGGGGAGGCTGGGCCTGAAAGAGGGGGAGGCGGCGGGGGGGGGACCATGCCACACTTGGAGTTGATTTTTCAGCCACAGCCAGGACCTATACAGCTTAAGCAAGAGAGGCTGCTGGCCTGGGGGCCAGGGATCCCCTTCCACCGGGCCCACCCTAAACTGCTCATTCCTGACCTTGGTGCAGCGGGGGCAGTTAAGATAACCCCCCAACATCATGATGAGCAGGTGCCACTAAGGGGTGTTGCTTTTCCATGGGCCTGTCTCCATGGTGGCTGTGCAGATGATGATGGCGATGACGATCATGGTGATGGTAGTAATGGTCATAGTTATGATGACGATAATGGTAAAAATGGTGATGGTGGTGGTGATGATTGTGATGGTGTTGGTGATAATGGTGATAGTGATGGTGATGGTGAATGATGGTGATGCTAATAATGATGATTGTTATAATGATGCTGATGGTGATGATGGTGGTGGTAATGACAGTGGTGGTGATGACGATGGTGATGGTGATGGTGGTGGTGGTAGTGGTGATGACGGTGGTGGTGATGATGATGGTGATGAATGTCAGGGTGGTGGCCGCTATTTATTGAGCACTTATATCATGTGCAGAAAAGTTATTAAGCCAACTAGGACTCAGAGGTGTGCTGTGGTAGAGCCTGGGCGGGAACCTGGGCTCTGACTGCAGAGCCCACATGCTAAGCTAGAGTTGGCAAACTTTCTCTGTAAAGGGCCAGATTGTGAAAATGTTTAGCTTTGTGGAGCATATAGTCTCTGTCACAACTACTCAACTCTGCCACCAGAGTGTGAAAGCAGCCATAGACAACACATAAACAAACAGGCATGGCTGTGTTCAATAAAACCTTCTTTACACAAACAGAACATAGTCCTCTCAACTCTGCTCTAAGCTCTTGAACAGCCCGTGGTTTCCCTCTGCTTTCGAGCTTCAAGAGGTCTTCCTTGGTCACCTGCCTGACTCCAGACTGCTCCCTCACCAGCTGGGCTGGCTGCCATGTTTTAAATCTGTCCTCAAATGATAGAGATCCGCTACCAATGGCAGATTAGTTTGTTCACTTGCTGGTTCACTCATTTATTCAAACAGCTATTGGTTGCTATTATTATCAACATAATTATTGGAAATGCTTATATTTGTTAAGAAATAATTATATGGTATATTATGATATAATTATAACATATATTATTAATAAAAAATTACTGTTAATAGTAGAACCATAGGTATTGGGGTCAGATAGAGCAGTGTTGTAATCCTCATCCAAGGACTTATCAGCTGGGGATCTTGAGTAAGTGACTTAATAACCTCTCTGTGTCTCAGTTTTTCCTTCTATATAATGGGCTGTTGGGGTCCCCACCCTGTCTTCCTTTCAGGACCACCATTAAGAGTAAATGAAAGGGCACGTAGTTCTTCACCTATGTTTGGCCCAGCCAAGGGCTGCACTGAAAGATGGTATTTATTACTACAGGGCATGTGTGTTGAGCTCCTGAATGAAGATGAGGTATTTTAGGTGGATTTGCCCCTACCCTGACTTGGCTCTGCTGTGCCTCCCCGCTTCCACAGGTGAACCTGTTCTCTGACCCACCCCAGCCCAGCCACAGCATCCACACAGGAATGGTGCCCCAAGGGACCAAGGTCTTGTCCTTCACCATCCCACAGCCCCGCTCTGCAGAGTGGTGGCTGGGCCCGGCCGAGGACCCCCAGGCCTCTGCGGCCTCAGGTAAGTCCGGGAGAAGAGCCGCGGCTGGAGGCTCCTTCTGTCTGGGATTCTGCTCTGTGGGGCTGACTTGGTTCACCCTGGGGATGGCACTGGCCTCAGGCCAGGGGAAGGAGGGAGGCAAGGCCCCACCCTGGGTACTTTGACGCAAAAGGGTCAGAGATGTGGAAAGTGTCCTGCTTTGATCCACAGCAGCCTGGGGGCAGCCCTGGCCCTGCCACTTGGCATCTTGGTGACCCTGGGTGAGTTGAAGACATAGAGTATTGTCCCTGGGGAGCCCATATCTCAGCCAGGCCCTGCACTGAGCCTTGACACATGTGACCTCAGTTCATCCCCACAATAACCCGCTGAGGTGTGCACTGTTGTCACACCCATGACAGCCAAGGGGATCAAGGCTTGGAGAGGTGAGGACAGGCTGAGTTCATACAGCTGTTGAGGGGAAGCGTCTGGATTGGAACTCACGTCTCCCTGTGTGAGAGGCCACGCTGTTGACTGGGAACCCGGAAGCCTAGCACAGCTCTGCTGCAGCCAGCCGTGTGACCTGGGGCAGATCTGCACCTTGTCCTCCCCTGTAAATGGGGGACAATGCTTTACCCAGCCCACTTCCTGGGGCTGATGTGAAGATAGCACATGGTGACTGAGCTGTAACTTGATGATGGAGGTGGTGGCTTTGGCGTTCAGCCTCAGTCCTTCAGCTCCTGGAAGGACTGTTCTTGGCTCCAGCTTTCAGCAATTGTGTATTCCAGGGTGGCCATCAGCTCGAGGAGACCTGAGCCCCTCCTCGCTCACCAGCATGCCCACCCTGGGGTGGCTTCCAGAGAACCAGGGCATCTCCGAGGACCAGTCCTCAGCAGAGCAGACCCAGGCACTGGCTTCTCAGGCCAAGCAGTTCCTGGCCAAGGTGAGTGGACTCCCAGCTTTGCCCCTGAGAGACTTAACTCACCTGGAGAACGCAGAACCTCTGCCTGCTTGGGTGAGAAGCGCTCTGGGAGTCTCACTTGTCATTCCCCTGCCTCTGCACCAAGTTAACTCAGCCATCCCCAAAACATGAGCCCCTCCCTGGTTTTAGAGGCCACACAGCTCCAGCCTCCTCCTTGTCACCAGTGCTAGGTTTCACCCTCCTTTTTGGCAATGCATCTCATCAAAATCCCTCCAGTTGTGCTTCGAAGTGTCTCTAGGCTGGCTCCCGGGCAACTCTGAGCTCTTTCAGGATTCTGGAAGAGTAATAGAATCTCTACTCTACCTTTTCCTCTTCAGGATAAGTTGCCTCATTTTCTTAGTTCATTTTATTAAATAAATCACTTCCCAGTTACTTCTCAAGGGTCTTTGTATCTTCATCCAGCAGTCCAAGTAACCATGAATTGTTTGCAGGTCTGTTTATAACTGTACATTGGCTTTACTCCAGAAGTGGCTTAAAGTACCTTATGAAAATACATACATTTTAGCCACATTCTGAAAACAGAAGCGAGGAAACGGGCAGAGAGGAAGTAAGGGTAGAAAAAAGTAAAGTATGTGAAGTGAGTAAATAAAATGTTCTGTTGGACCCTAAGCACATTAGAGTCACACATTTAGCTTTGAGCTTCCTAGTTGCCAGTGCCAAAAGAGAAATGCAATAGTTATATGCACCACCCTGCCCATAAAACAAATTCTTTCAGAGAAGCACCACCATTGTATTCTTCCCGTCCCTTCCCTTCCCATCCCTTCCCTTCCCTCCTCCCTCCTCTCCCTTCCCCTCCCCTCTTCTCCCTTCCCCTCTCCTCTCCTCTTCTCTCCTCCTCTCCCCTCCTCTTCTCTCCCTTCCCATCTCCCCTTCTCTCCCCTGCTTTATTGAAATATAATTCACATACCACGCAGTTGACTCATTTAAAATGTATGCATGCTTCAGTGGTTTTTAGTATATTCACAGTTCTGCCACTGTCACCACAGTCAATTTTAGACATTTTCATGAGCCACTAAGAAACCTCATCTGTATTAGGCGGTCACTCCCACTCCCCGTTCCCTCTTCCCCCAGCCTGTGGCAGCTGCTCATCTGCCTCCTATTTTTATAGGCTCACCTATTGTGGACGTCTCATAGCAATATATTCATGCAATATTTGTCCTGTGTCTGACATCTGTCACTTACCATGATGTTTTCAAAGTTAATCCTTGTTGGAGTAGCACATACAAGGACTTCATTTCTTTTTCTTTTTTTTTTTTTTTTTTTTTTTTTGAGACAGTGTCTTGCTCTTTCGCCCAGGCTGGAGTGCAGTGGTGCAATCTTGGCTTACTGCAACCTCCGCTTCCCTGGTCCAAGCAATTCTTCTGCCTCAAGCCTCCCTAGAAGCTAAGATCACAGGCACCCGCCACCACGCCCGGCTAATTTTTGTATTTTTAGTAGAGACGGGATTTCACCATGTTGGCCAGGATGGTCTCAAGCTCCTGACCTCAGGTGATCCGCCCGCCTCAGCCTCCCAAAGTGCTGGGATTCCAGGCTTCATTTCCTTTTGCCACCACCATTCTTGGTTCCGTAGCCGGAGACACATTTCTTCTTCGTCCTATGTGTTGTCCACAAAATAAAGCAATGTCAAATCATCACACTGAGCAGGAGCTGGGGCCTTAGCTGACCCCTCATATCTAGTGCTGCACGATCCAATTCAGAAGCTGCTGGCCACATGTGGCTGTTGAGACATGGGCTGCTCTGAATTGAGACATGCTGTGGTATGTATAAAACACATACTGGATTTCAGAGACTTAGAAATACAAAGTATCTCCCTATTTTTTTAGTATTGGTTACATGTTGAAATGATATTTGGGGCTAAATAAAATATAAAAATTAATTTTACCTGTTTCTTTTTACATTCTCAATGTGGCTATGAGAAAATTTCAAATGTGTAGCTCACACTATATTTCTATTTTATATATTATAAAATTATACAATATATGATTACATGATATACATTTCTATATTATATTTCACACTGATCTAGAACTTTCTTAAAACTGAATATATCATCCCTTGCCTTTTTTTGTAATGAAACTTTTTTTGAGCAGGTAACAGACACCCATGATAAGGACCTTTGCACAGTACAGAGGGCATATTGAGCAAAAAATAAATATTTTCTCCAACCCATGCAAAAACGTTCAGTGCACACACTTGCATTTATAGAAATGGTTGCATAAGCTACTGTACCTTGACTTTTTGAAGTCCTAAATTTGAATATTTATTTTTGGGTAGGCAACGAATTCACATTGTTCAAATTTCAAAGGATGCAAAGGACGTGTAGTAGAAAAATCTACTTCTCATTCCTGTCTTCCAGCCACCCAGTTCTCCTTCCCAGAAGCAATTTATATTTTAGTTTCTTGAATTCCTCTAGAGATAGTATATCATATATAAGCAATGTATTTATCGTTTTCCTTTTTATTCGTCACATATTTTATACAGATGGTAGCATACTATAAACATTGCCCTGTACCTTGATTTGACACTGAAAAATAGGTCTTGGAGGTATTAATAGCTCAGAACATACACATGTACCTTCCTCTTATTGATGGCTGCATACTATTCCACCGACAGGCATTTAAGCTATTTCTTGTCCCCGCCCTACTGTTCATGCTGCAGTAAATATCCTGCATTAGTCTTGATTCACACGAGTGACTTGCTTTGTTGTCAGTAAATTCCTGCAGGTTCCACTTTGATTTTTTCTCAAGGCTGCTATGCCTGGGGCTGGTGGTAGAAGCCGTTCCCAGCACCCACCTCTCCATGCTTAGCAGAAACCCCACATCCTGAGGACGGACCCAGCTCCTCTTACCAAAGCATGGATGTGGCTGGGTGTGGGAGTCTGCAGGACTGGATTAATGGAGCGTATTTCCTTCCCCTCCTAATGTCCAGGTGGAGTCCTTTGAAAGACTGATACAGGCAGGACGTCTCATGCCCCAGGACCAACTCAAGGTACTGCCCAATTCAGGAGCCACCCGTGGAACTGCCAGACAACCACTGTCTCCCATGGCTCTGTCTCTGAAGCCTCCTTTGCTACAAGACAGAAAAGAGAATCCCAGACACAGTGTCTCTTTCAGAGCAAACAGCTCTTGAGTAGCTTCCCATGATAACGATCATTATATCACAATAGTTACTGCTTATTAAGCAAGGATGGTTGTGTGCCAGGGACTGTGGTAAACCCTAGAGTATGTTATTTTATTTTATCATCATCAAAACCCAGTGAAGCAGTTACAGTTATCACCATCATTTAACCAGGATGGAACTGAAGCTCAGAGGGGTTACTCAAAGACCACACAGCTAGTAGGTAGCAGAGCCTGGAGCCAGGTCTGTCTCCCTTTCAAATCCAGGGTCATAATCACTGCCCTGCACTACCTTCCACAAATTACCCTGCCTCTCAGCAAGCAGAAAAAGGCCTTTTCTTTTTTATTGCCTTTAAAAAAAATTACAAAATGGTTGCCAAACGTTTGGAAACTAGGTTAAAAAAAAAGTGGGGGCTGGGGGAGAGACCCTTTATAGATTCCTTATTGGTGTATTTCCTTTGGAATTTGGAGTTTTAGATAACTGCAGTGATAAATACAATTTAGATTCTTGCTGCATCAGCCAGGGTCCCAGTAAGGAACAGGTGCAGCTCTCAAGTCTGGGAGTGTAGGCATCAGAGGAAAGAACTGTCAGCAAAGGTGTGGACAGCATCAGGGGACCCAGCAAAGACTGGGGAATCCCCAGGTAGTAGCATTAGCCGGGAGCTGTACCCACTCTCAAGTCTCTCTCTTCCCACCCTGTGATCTCTGATAGGTCCCTCCCACTAGACAGACCCAATCAGAAGCCAGCAGGTAGACAGCCCTGATGCTCAAAGCACAGAGCAGGGTGGGAGAGGAGCTGAGAGAAGGTCTGGAGAGGCAAATGCAACACACCTAGTTTCTAAAAAAATGTTATGGCGGGAGTATTTTCCTGTGTGGTTACATAGATGTCACGTACACTTTCCAATCACAAAATACGTGATGTGTATCATGTAATATCATGCAGTGGATGACCAAGGACCTTGTAAACTAAAACCATTCATTTTTTTGCTCTCTGTTCTAATTCCCCCATACGCAGGGAAGTTGAGAGCTGTCGGAAGGTTAGATGTGACCAGGGAATGGGTTCTAGGTTGTCCTTGGCCTCAGTCTGTCCTCAGAGTTGAGTGGGATGCAGAAGGTAGTAAGACAGTGATACCAACCCCAGTTGCCGCAGCTTTAGCCATGTATTGCCCGTGATTATGTTTACTATGGGAGCCTAACAGAATTGCTAGGACCATGGGCTCTGGGGCCAGAGGGCCTGGGCCCACATCCTGTCTCTACAACTCACTCACTCCATGACCTTCACCAACTTAAATGACATCCCTGTGCCTCAGTTTCATCCTTTTTAAATGAAGATGATAAATCACCCCTCATTATGATTATATTGAAGATTAAATAAATGCAAAGTGCTTTAGCCCAGAGTCTCAATGCTCAGTAAATAGTCTCAATAATGTAATGGTGATGATAACATTATCTGTGTTGATAGCCTATAAGGATTTGGGAAAAGAGTGGCTAATTTTCTGAAACCCACAGTTTTGCAAATCAAGAATGAGGATCCAGAGTCTCTCAAGTAGAGGGTCCTTATGGAGATACGGTGAGAGTATATTTGACACTGTGACAGCTATGACAGTTTGTGATACATTGGGGTCCTTGTAAGTCTATGCAGGAAGGGCTGGTGCCCTCTGAAGCTGGTGCCAAGGCTCTAAGTTGTGTCTCTGTTGTGCCAGCCTGATGGCAGAGAGCTGGACCACGGCCGCTCTCCAGGGCAGGCAGCCTCCAGAGATCTCAACCTCAGCCTGTATCTTGCATGAACCCAAGGGCCCAGGTGCATCCCATGGCCTCCCGCAAACTGTCTCATCCACTGTGTCTGCAGGGACAGGCCCCACAGGGGCTGAGCATTGAAGTCTTCCTGGCCTGGTCTGGTTTCAGGGCTTCCAGCGGCTGAAGGCTGCCCACGCGGCCCTAGAGGAGGAGTACCTGAAGGCCTGCCGGGAGCAACACCCTGCCCAGCCGCTTGCTGGCTCCAAGGGGACACCTGGAAGATTTGATCCTGGCAGGTACCTGCTGGGGTGGAAGGCCTGGAAGGACAGATGGGATGGGCCCCTGGGGTCCCTCACCTCCAGGAGGAAGGCACTTTGTCCTTATAATTTGTACACAAGAGAATAGAGAGAAATCTTATCCTAATTAATATACACATCCAAATGGTGGCATGATGAAAAGCTGAGATTTGAGTCCCTTTGAACCCACTTGCTGAGAAGATGCCTTGAAACACTTATTGGTTAATGGGGAAACTGAGGCTAGATGGGGGTGGGATTTCTGTAAAGTCCCACAGCCTGTGGAAGGCAGAGGGAACTTGGGCTGAGGCCTCCTGATTCCCAGTGGAACCTTCTTTCATCTTGCTTATTTTGAGTTCTCACCATCATCTAAAGGCTGATATTAAATGGACCCTAAGGGGGCATCCCCTGGAGTCTCTGCTCTGACACTCTGCTCCTGGACCTGCCTGATGTGGCTACCATCTTGGGCTCCTGGTGCTGATGTTTCTGCATTCCAGGGAGCTGGAGGCAGAGATATACCGTCTGGGAAGTTGCCTGGAAGAGCTGAAGGAACACATAGACCAGACCCAGCAAGAGCCTGAGCCGCCCGGGTCAGACTCAGCTCTGGACAGTACCCCAGCCCTGCCCTGCCTCCACCAGCCAACACACCTGCCTGCTCCTTCCAGACAAGCCCCCATGCCAGCCATCAAGACCTCCTGCCCTGAGGTACCTCTTGGCTCAACCATATTGGGCTGTTCCCTTGTGCATTCATTTCTTCATTAATTCATTTCTTCAGTACATATTTCTTATTTATGAAGTGTGTGCCATATGCCAGGACCCATGACACATGGTAGGGATTCAGTGGGATGGGAGGTGGCAGGGAAGGTGGCCTCTGCCTTCACAGAGTTTTCTGTAGAGTTGAACTGGTTCCAGTGATTTAGTTGTAATTTTGATCAGTGCACTGAAGGAGAATTATGGGGTTCTGTGAGAGTAGGAGGAGTAACATGACTGAGTTTGAGGAGGACGTCAGAGAAACTTTCCCTGAAGAGGTCATGTTTAAATGAGACCTGAGGCTAAGTAGGAATTACTAGAGACAAAGAGAAAACCTATCCAGTGGGGGAAACAGCCTGTACAAAGGCCCTGTGGCTGGAGTATGGGAAGAGAAGGGAAAAATAGTCTGAGATGTGGCTGGAGAGGCAGGCAGGAGCCCCATGACATAGGGGCTTGTGGGTCACATAGAGAGCATGGCCTTCAACTCTGCTGGATTTTGTGGCAGGGGATGACATAAGATGACTTGTGGGTAGGCCAGTCTGAGGATGGGGAGGTGGCAGGGCAAATGGGGAAGCATGTGTGGACTTGAGAGAGGTTGGGAAGGTATGTTTGAGTGGACTTGGAGTGGCCGTGAGAGGGAAGGAAGACACGGATGGCTCCAGGTTTCTAGCCTGTAGTACTGCACGGATGATGGGGTGAAGCCTAGACAAGAGCCCTACACGAAAGGGGCTTTGTAGAAGGCTCTCTGGCCCACACCATGACCCCTTGAGAGGCAATCACTGTCTCCGTTTTGCAGATGAGCAAATTGAGTATAGTGCATTCACACAGATGACAGTGGTGGGGTCTCTATGCCTCCCAACTCCTGTTGCCTGTGTTGCAAAGACTTGTCTGTTGAGGATGGGAGCAGGAAAGAGGGCCTGGCATGCTGGGTAGGGTGGGACGCTGGTAGGACATCCCTGACAGCTGAAGTCATGCTGGCCCCATGGTTTGGGGAAAATCTTATGCTGTGCTCTGGCCTAGAGGGTAGGAAAACTCTACCAGGTGCCACTACATACAAGAATGGGGAGAAAACCTGAGTACATTATCTTGAAGGACCCTTGCGTTCCTGCAGTGAAGGTATTGCAGGGGGCTGGGGTGGCCCTACTGGCATGGATGGGGGTCAGAAGAGTTAACTCTGGCAGGAAATCTAGATTCAAAATTCAACTCTGCTTCTGTTCTGTTGACTTTGGGCAAATCATTTGAGCTTTAGCTACCTGTCTGTAAAATGGTTTGTAATAATCTCAGGTACTGGTGGGATTGTTGTGACCTGATATCTGTATGGTGCCTGGCACACAGTAGGTGCTCTATTCATGGCAGCCAGTATCGAAGACCACACAGCCCAGTCTCTGTAGTTTACACATGCATAAAAGGGTGGTGGGCTTAGTGAGTCTAATGTGCTTCTTACCCCTCAGCCCCCAGCGCGAGCCTGGCAGGAGGCAGGTGCTTAAAAGTGGTATTTAAGTATCTGCTGAATCTCTGTCCTTTCATCTTTCTGACCCCAGCCTGCTACCACCACTGCCGCCGCCAGCGCTGGCCCCCGCCCATTGCACATAAATGTGGAGGTGAGCTCTGGCAACAGTAAGGTGGAGGACAGGCCACAGGACCCCCTGGCCCGACTCAGGCACAAGGAGCTGCAGATGGAACAAGTGTACCATGGCCTCATGGAGCGGTGAGTGCCACCTGGACCTGACCGGGGTGTCTGGCTAGCAGCTGGATCTAGGCTGTCCCCCACTGGGCAGAGATCATGCCCCTCTGTGTGTTCTCTTGCAGGTACCTCAGTGTGAAATCTCTCCCGGAAGCCATGAGAATGGAGGAGGAGAAAGAAGGAGAGGAGGAGGAGGAGGAGGAGAGGGGAGGTGACTCCCTAGAAGTTGATGGGGTGGCTGCAGCTCCAGGGAAAGCAGAGGCCACCAGGGTCCTCCCAAAGCAGCACCTGGTGCAGGCTGAGAAAAGTCATGGGGCTCCCCTGGAGTAAGTCACTGAGCCTTTCCTGCAGAATGTTTGGTTCCACCCTAAAACCACAGGGGTGATCACTGTCAGAGTGCATAAGACAGCACTTCACAGTTTAGACATGGCTTGCCTGTCCTGCCTCTTCAAGTGTGCAATGTATACCACTGATAGCCCTTGAAGTGATTTTGGGTAGTGTGGGACATGATTTTCAGTAGGGCACATGCAGTATTAAAGAATATTATTCTCAGCTGGGCACAGTGGTTCATGCCTTTAATCGCAGCATTGAGGGAGGCCAAGGCAGGTGGATCACTTGAGCCCAGGAGTTCAAGGCTAGACTGAGCAAAATGGCAAAGCCCCATCTCTACAAAAAATACAAAAATTAGCCAGACATGTCGGTACACGCCTATATCCCTAGCTATTTGGGAGGCTGAAGCAGGTGGATCTCTTGAGCCCAGGAGGCGGAGATTGCAGTGAGCTGAGATCGGGCCACTGCACTCCAGCCTGGGTGACAGTGCAAGATCCTGTCTCAAAAAATAAAATAAAATAAACAAGAAAAAAGAATATCATTCTCTTTTTCTCTCTGACCTTCTAATGATGCCAAGGAGAAAGTCTCAGTTAGTGCTGTGGTGTCTTTAATGCCTCTCTTGAACTTCTGTGGAAAAAGAGAGAGAGAGAGAGAGAGCGAGCGTGAGAGCGCATAAGCAGGCCTCAGGCCTAGAGCCTTTGGCAGGCAAATGGATCTATCTAGTATATGATAACATTCAGGTTTCTTGTATTTATCCTCAAAGTTAGTTTCTGTTTGTCACATCTTCTGTTTTGAATAGTGATCTAAAATCTTTGGAGTAGATGGAAGTTTATGGAAATGCCTGAAATAGGGAAGGTGGTATGCGAACTCCTTAAGTCTGGGAATTGCTGCTTTAGCATTTCCTCTTTGGTGTGTTGGGTGGGTTTTGTTGGCATCCACATTTTCCAGTTGAAAAGTGAGGTTGAGAGAGGGGAAGTGCCTTGCCCTAGGTCGTACAGCTAGAAGGTGGCAGAACCAGGCTGGACAGCCAGGGATGTCTGACTCCAGAGCCTGTGCCCTGGGCTGCTTGGCTCCCAGGACAGGCCAACCCCTGTGTCAGGGCTGCCCGGCAGAGCTCAAGGAAGGTCTTCTCTTCCCATGCCAGGGAGGCCACGGAGCAGATGCTATCTGTGAAGCCACCAGGTTTCCAGACATCCCTGGCTAGAGACGGGCACATGTCAGGCCTGGGCAAGGCTAAGGCAGCCCCTCCAGGCCCTGGCATGCCACCCCACCCTCCAGGCACCAAGTCCGCAGCGTCCCACCAAAGTAGTATGACCAGCCTGGAGGGAAGCGGCATCTCTGAGCGCCTTCCACAGAAGCCTTTGCACCAAGGTTGTGGGCCCCACCTGGAGGTAAGTCTCCGCATGGGGGAATGGGCCCAGAACCTCAGGGTCATTGCTGGGTCTTCTCAACTTTCTGCTTCTGGATCTTTCCTTGTGCTATTCCTTCTTGGAATACCTGCTGCTCCTGTCCCTGCCAGCCAAAATCCCACCTGACATGCAGGACTTATGCCCAGTGTCACCCCCCAAACCTGTCCCTCTTCCAGAGCTCTTGTTCCTCCTCTGAGAGCTTGGAACCCATTGCTTATACTTCTCTGAGCCTGCCCATCACAGCTGAAGAGTCTAGTTCTATGCCCTTTAGAGCAGACATCACTGCTGCAAGGTCACAGACCACTGTGGAAGTGTGACTGTCAGAGAATAATGCATATATATGCATGCCTGTGCACTTGCGTGCAAACACACACACACACACACACACACACACACACACACACGCTTCTCTAGTCCTAATGAGCCCATGGTCAGGATTCTCTGCACTAGACATGAACTCAGCGAGGGCAGGCACCTGTGTTGCTCTGTGTTCTTTGTGCCATGTGTTAAACCCAGTGGGTAGGACCTGTATGTACATATTTGATGATTTCGTTTTTCCAATGCCTTGGGCCTGAGCATTTCCACTCAGATAAGACCATAGTATTCCAGGCCTGAGCCAGGAGACACTGGAAATATGACTTTCTCCCTCTCCCCTTGCTAGTCCTTGTCCACGGCCGTGTCTCTCCCAAGGGCTCTGGCTGCCACTCCTCAGGGAGGCAGGACTTGCTCAGGGTCCTCCTGGGGTGCAGAGTCCCTGCTGGTAGCCAGATTCTTGTGCTGAGGCCTGAGGGCCTGAGAGCCCTCACTCCTCGGCCTGGCTGTTGGGAGCCAGGCCAGCATCCCTGGGGTGTGAGCCTCTGGGAGGTGAGGCCCAGGCTAGGATTTGGGAAGGGCTTCCCAGTGTGCCTTGGTCACATTCCTCAGACATAAAGGGATACTGCCTCTTTCAGGAGCCCTGGATGGCATCCCCGGAGACAGACAGTGGCTTTGTTGGCTCAGAAACAAGCAGAGTTTCACCCCTCACCCAGACTCCAGAGCACCGGCTCTCCCACATCAGGTATCCTGGGATCCCGCCATTGTCCTGTCAGTGCCACATTCCTGGGACAGCCTGGGAATCGCAGTGCCCGTGATGGCCCAGAATAAGAAAGGATGGTCTGTCCATTCATAGGGACTCATTTCATCCCCAATTTCTTGTTCCTATGTTATTGACAGAGGAAACAGAGCTTCAGAGAGGGGAGTGACTAGTCCATCCTCATACAACTAATTAGCGACAGACTGGGAAATTCATTTTTGTTGAGCAAATGAATGGGTGAATGAATAAAAACTACAGGGAGGGCACTGTGAGGTGAACAGAAGACAAGGACAAAGGGCACTCAGGGTGGCTACATGGAACCCAAAGGGAAGGGAGAAGGCGGAGGAGACAGGGTTGAAGGTTGGAGGGATGGAGCCTCCAAAGCTGGGTGCAGGCCCTTCAGGAGGCCCACATGGCAACCCAAGGGTGCATGCAAAGGAAGGATTAGAAATCCTATTTCTCTTTATGTATTCTGCATAGAAATTGAGATTTATTATTTTGCATATTGGGTTGGCCAGTGTACAGTTTATAAAGAAGTGGACATCCAATGTGTGTGTGTCCTTGGAAATATTGTACCACCTGAGATGCAAAGTCGCAGAGGGTGGGAGCTTATTGGGTTAGCATGTGGAAAGCCTCAGATGCCGCCGCCTGAGTGTCTCACTCTGTGTGACCTCCGTGTGTCCCTTCCTCCACGGTCCCCCAGCACAGCAGGAACATTAGCCCAGCCCTTCGCTGCATCTGTGCCCAGGGAGGGAGCTTCCTACCCCAAGGCCAGGGGTTCTCTGATCCCCAGAAGAGCCACAGAGCCCAGCACACCCCGGAGCCGAGCACAGAGGCACCTCTCCAGCCCAAGTGGGCCTCTCCGGCAGAGGGCACCCAACTTCAGCCTGGAGCGGACATTGGCAGCTGAGATGGGTGAGTGCAGGAGTCTGGCTTGGACAGAACTGCATGGATTGAAAAATCAAATAGAAAAACTTGCAGAACCCTTTAGGATATGACATATTAGCCAGGTTCATTGTACTGAAATTTGAAATTACAGGTAAGGTGGACAAAAGGGAACAAAAGAAAAAAAATACTCTGGAAACCATCAGCGCTGATGTTTTGGTGTAGAACCTGTGAGCTGTTCTCTGTGCCGACGTAAATGTGTGTTATTTACACGTTTTGTTCAGTGACAGACAGCATGCATGGCAGTGGTCCCATAAGATTTTCATGGAGCTGAAAAATTCCTTTGGTAGTGATGTTGCAGTCATTGCAGGGCAACGCTTCACACACGTTTGCGGCGATGCTGGTGGAAACAAACCTACCGCACTGCTGGTCATATCAAAGTACAGTACCGGCCAGGCGCGGCGGCTCCTGCCTGTAATCCCAGCACTTTGGGAGGCCGAGGCGGGCGGATCACCTGAGGTCCGGAGTTCGAGACCAGCCTGGCCAACATGGTGAAACCCCATCTCTACTAAAAATACAAAAAGTTAGCCAGGCGTGGTGGTGGATGCCTGTAATCCCAGCAACTCGGGAGGCTGAGGCAGGAGAATTGCTTGAACCCAGGAGGTGGAGGTTGCAGTGAGCTGAGATCAAACCATTGCACTCCAGCCTGGGCAACAGAGTGAGACTCTGTCTCAAAAAAAAAAGTACAGTACAGGCCGGGCATGGTGGCTCATGCCTTAATCTCAGCACTTGGGGAGGCCAAGGTGGGAGGATCACTTAAGGCCAGGGTGACCTGTGGCCAACATGATGAAACCCTGTCTCTATTAAAAATACAAAAATTAGCCGAGTGTGGTGGCTTAACACCTGTAATCCCAGCTACTCAGGAGGCTGAGGCATGGGAATCGCTTGAACCTGGGAGGCCGAGGCAGAGGTTTCAGTGAGCCGAGATCGCACCACCACAGCACACCAGCCTGGGTGACAGAGCAAGACTCTGCCTTAAAAAAAAAAAAAAAGTACAGTACAAAACCTACCATTATGTACAGTACATAATACTTGATAACTAATGACTCTGTTATTGGATTATGTATTTACTATACTTTTTATCATTATTTTAGAGTGTATTTCTTCTACTTATTTTAAAAATGTTAACTATTAAACAGCCTCAGGTAGTCCTTCGGGAGGTATTCCAGAAGAAGGCATTGTTATCACACATGACGGTGCTATTATTGCCCCTGAAGAACAAGACGTGGAGGTAGAAGACAGGGATATTGATGACCCTGCCCCGGTGTAGGCCTAGGCTAGTACGTGTGTGTGTGTGTATGTGTGTGTCTTAGTTTCTAACAGAAAAGTTTTTTTAAAAAAAGTTAAAAATAGAAAAAAGCTTATAAGGATATCAAGAAAATATTTTTGTACTTTACAATGTATTTTTAAGTTAAATGTTATTACGAAATAGTCAAAAGATTAAAAACCATTCAAAAACTTATAAAGTAAAAATGTTACTGTAAGTTAAACTTCATTAATTATTGAAGAAAAACTTTTTTATAAATGTAAATTTAGCCTAAGAATATGGTGTTTGTAAAATCTACAGCAGGGTACAGTAATGCCCTAGGCCTTCACATTCACTCCCCACTCACTCACTGACTCACCCAGAACAGCTTCCAGTCCTGTGATCTCCATTCATGGTAAGGACCCTTTACAGATGTACCATTTAAAAAGTCTTTTATACCATATTTTTATGGTCTCTTTTCTATGTTTAGATACACAAATACCATTGTATTACAGTTACCTACAGTATTCAGCAGGCAATGTTGTAGAGGTTTGTAGCCTGGAAGTAATGGGCTATTCCATTTACCCCACATACGTAGTAGGTGTGGGTAATCTATGATGTTTGTGACATGGCGAAACGGACTAGAAATGTGTTTCTCTGAACTTATACCCAACATTAAGTGATGCATGACTATACTTAAATCAGAAACGAGGCCAGGCACGGTGGCTCATGCCTGTAATCCTAACACTTTGGGAGGCTGAGGTGGGTGAATCACCTGAGGTCAGGAGTTTGAGACCAGCCTGGCCAACATGGCAAAACCCCATCTCCACTAAAACAAAAATTAGCCAGGCATGGTGGCGGGCACCTATAATCCCAGCTACTCAGGAGGCTGAGGCAGGACAATGGCTTGAACCCAGGGGTGAAGGTTGCAGTGAGCTGAGATTGTGCCACTTCACTTCAGCCTGAGCGGAAGAGTGAAACTCTGTCTCAAAAAACACACCAAAAAAACAAAAAAATGAGATAATTTTATATGTGAATATTTGGCAACCTCCTTTTTTCACTAAATTGTGTTATGAACACTTTCCATGTCTATAAAATCTATATGTGATTCAGTTTTTGACTTTTAGAAATACACATGAATTATTTACTGAAATTAAAAAACACTGAAAAGAACTTAAATTGATGAGGTTTTACAAGGTGAACAGAGACCAAGAAACTCAACATGATCTGAACCCCAGAACCCCACTGAAGGCCCCTTCAGTCACCACCTGCTGCTCCCCAAACATAACCACTGTTCTGACTCCTGACACCTCAGATTAGCTTTACCTAAAAGGTTCATCTTTTTTTTTTTTTTGTTGTTTGAGACAGAGTCTCACTCTGTTGTCCAGGCTGGAGTGCAGTGGTGCAATCTCTGCTCTGTGCAACGTCCACCTCCTGGGTTCAAGGGATTCTCCTGCCTCAGCGTCCTGAGAAGCTGGGATTACAGGTGTGCACCACCACGCCTGGCTAATTTTTGTATTTTTAGTGGAGATGCGGTTTCATCGTGTTAGGCCGGTCTTGAACTCCTGACTTTGTGATCTGCCCGCCTCGGCCTCCCAAAGTGTTGGGATTACAGGCATGAGCAACCACGCCCAGCTGGTTCATTATTTTAAAAACATTTTTAATTAAACTTTTTTTTTTTTTTTTGAGACGGAGTCTTACTATGTTCCCCAGGCTGGTGTGTAGTGGTGCAATCTCAGCTCACTGCAACCTCCTCCTCTCAGATTCGAGTGATTCTCCAGCCTCAGCCTCCTGAGTAGCTGGAACTACAGGTGTGTGCCACCACGTCCAGCTAATTTTTGTATTTTTAGTAGAGACAGGGTTTCACCATGTTGGCCAGGCTGGTCTCGAACTCCTGACCTCAAGTGATCCGCCCACCTCAGCCTCCCAAAGTGCTAGAATTATAGGTGTGAACCACCACGCCCGGCCTTTAATTAAACTTTTTATTTGGAGATAATTGCAGATTCACATGCAGTTATAAGAAATAATACACAGAGATCCCATGTGCCTTTACTCAGTTTCCCCCAGTGATAATATCTTGCAAAGTACAGTGTCACAGCCAGATGTTGACACTGATGCAGTCAAGATACAGAACGTTCCATCACCACAAAGAGCCTCATGCTGCCCTTTCATAGGCATACTCACTTCCCTCCTGCCCCCAGCCTGTCCTTAACCCCTGGTAAGCACTAATCTGTTCTCCATTTCTATAATTTTATCATTTCAAGAATATTCTATAAATAGAATCATATACTATGTAACCTTTTGAGATTGGCTTTTTACTCGGCATAATTCTCTGGAGATTTATCTAGATTATTTTGTGTATTAATATTTAGCTCCTTTATATATTGCTGAGTAGTATTCCAAGGGTTTCAATGCTTTTATTTTTTATTTATTTATTTATTGTTTTTGAGACAGAGTCTTGCTCTGTCACCCAGGCTGCAGTGCAGTGGCCCCATCATGGCTCGCTGCAGCCTTGACCTCCCCGGCTCAAGCGATCCTCCTGCTTCAGCTTCCCAGGTAGCTGGGTCCAAGGGGATGTACCTCCACATCCAGCTAATTTTTTTATATATATAAATTTTTTTTGCAAAGATGGGGTCTTTCTGTATTACCTAGGCTAGACTCGAACTTCTGGGCTCAAGCAATCCTCCCATCTCAGCCTCCTAGAGTGCTGGGATTACAGGCATGAGCCACCATGTCTGGCCATTCATTGCTTTTAATGCAGGGGCTGGATTAGTGGTTTTTAACCTTTGGCCACCCATCCCTTCGGGAGATTCATTAAAAGTTATTAATGCTCTCCCCAGAAACATGCATACATGGAAAGAGGTGACTGTAATTTCAGAGGAGGCTCTGAAGCCAGCCCCACAACAACACGGTGAGAAGGTGATCAAGTCTTGGGCGAACCAGGTGAAGAAGCGGTTAATTCTTTGCAGAGGAAGTTCCTGAAGACTTGGATGGTGTCATGGTGGGTGGGAGGAGGGGTTCTGGTTAGAAACAGCGGGGCAGGCCTAGCTCAGCACCCCACACTCCCAGCAAAATCTAGATCTGGTTTGGAGGTCAGTGTGGGTCACTGGCCTCACCAGGAGCTTCCTTTGTGACCTTGAACTGGGCACCGTCTCTTCACTTCCATCATTCCACCTGCACAGGTGTGAGCTTGGAAGTTCTCTCTGCTTAAACTCACTTTGGGTTCTCTCTCTGCCTCCCTAGCGGTTCCTGGCTCAGAGTTTGAGGGGCACAAACGGATTTCTGAACAGCTCCTTCCCAGCAAGACAATCAGCCCACCCCCAACCCCCGCCACTGCCACTGCCCCTCTGCCCCGTGGACCAACAGAGACCATCCCCAACTTCCTGCTCACCAGGGCAGGGCGAGAGTAAGTTAGACACTTGGATCCTGGGAATTCAAGCTCATCATACAGATGGGAGCATGATGCGATGTGTTAGGGGGTGGAGGTGGAGACCTGCCCAGCTCACACAGGTAGTGGTGGTGGGACCAGGCTCCCAGCTCCCAGCGTTTCTGTGGGACCTCATTGATCCAGACATCGAGGACACTTCTCCAGCCAGTGGAAAATGACCTAAAGATTCACCTTTCTGGCCGGGGGGGGGTGTGATGGGGGGGGGCGGTCGGGGGATGAGCCGGGTAGGGGTCTTCGGGGGGGGGGGGGGGGGGGGCTGAGGGGGGGCGGACCCAGGAGCGGAGCTCGGAGTGAGATCGCCACTGCACTCCGCCTGGGTGACAGAGCTTCCGTTCCAAAAAAAAAAAAAAAAAAAAAAAGATTCACCTTTCTGGTGCTGCAACTTCTCCCCTCTCTCCCTATCATCTCCCTTCCAAGACAAGCCTGTCCGTTCCAGGGGTATCTTTTCTGCAATTTGCCCATTGATTGTATGGACCAAGAAGCTACTGCCTTCTGAGTTTTTCTTTTCTTTTTTTTTTTTCTGGTTCGTGTGCATTTTTCTACTAAGAACGTTCCACTTCCTTGGCTGAACAGAAATGGTAAAATCGCTTGGTCAGTTCTCTCACATCTCCCCTTAGTTGCTTTTGGCCAATGATCCCTCACATGCCCTTGCTGGAGGGGGTGTCTGTCCCGGGATGCGCTGGGGAGACTGCTCGGCGGTGGCCCAGCCAAGGCTTCTTTGGCTCGAACAGTCATGAGGCTGTCATGTTGCCTATATGCAAAGTTGTATCCAGCTGCTGGCGTTTGGCTTCCTTGTCTGAGTTTAGTAAGTCTACCCCTGCAGACTCCTCTGACATCAGTGGAGGAATTAGAGGCTTGTTTCTGTAGGGTATGCCAGGACTTGGGAATACAATAGTGGACTAGACTCTATCCTAGGCCTCGTAAGGCTTACCATCTTGTAAGATGAACATACAAAGAAACAGGCAGTGGTGCCCCCCCATTGTGATAAGTATGGTGATGGCAGAGGACTAAAGGACTGTGGGAGCATAGGGAAGGAGCATCTAGTCCAGTTAGAGGCTTCAGAGAGGGCTTCCGGGAGGAAGTGGTATCTCAGCAGACATCAGAAGGAAGAGAGATAGAAGAGTATCTTCGGCGGAGGGAATGGCATGTGCAAAGGCCTAGAGGTGAGAGAGTGCCCATCACCTTGGAGTTGCTAAACAGTCGGCCAGATCCTCTAGTGTGAGGGGGTGGGGTGTTGAGCAGTAAAGGAAGAGAGGGGTAGATAGGAGAGACCTATGGGAGATCCTACAGGGCCTGAAGGCCGTGGATAAGGGGAGACGTTCACTGCATGTTCCGTGAGTGCACAAAGGCTGAGAGGACAGGGAAGGGGATTTCAAGCAGGGACGTAGCCTAGGCAGGTTTATGTTTTAGGGTTCTCTGGCCACCAGCAGGGTGAGAACAGAGGCCAAGAGACTGCTGAGAAGGCTGCCTCATCCAGGAGGAGATGATGGGGCCTGGGTTCTCGGGGAGGGCCCCCACAGAGGGGAAGAAGGGATTCATTTGGAAAGAGGTATTTTGGAAGTTGGGCCCATGAGACTTGGTAACTGAGTAACTTCAGGGGTGTTCAGGGAAGGAGAGGGTCTAGAGTGACTCAGATTTCTGTCTGGCCAGTCAGGTGGATGCTGATGCCATGTGCAGAGGCAGGGGAGTAACTTTGCAGAGAAAGATGAATGTTAAGTGCCAGTAAGAAACTAAAGCGTTCCATCAGGGAGACTGAGATACCCAAGTGGTTGACTCACGCCCCTGGCCTTGTAAGTGTTTAGTGCCTTCTGACTGGGAGCCAGAGCTCTCCCTTTCAGGAGTTAACTGGGGGAGGGGAGATGTCACTCTCCAGTAGCCACCGCCCACCCTTGCCCTCATGGCTTTGCCTCAGAAACACCAGCAAGCGTCTCCCTGGGGATTACCAAGGGAACCCGCTGCCCTCAGACACACACACTCCACGCTGGGGCACAGCCAGGAAGAGGCCTCCACTGCTTCTGACACACTCGTCTGAGCGCTCATGTCTGCTGGAGGCAGCACCAGGAGACACTCACCCACAAGTCTAGGGGCCACCAGGCAAGAATGGCCCCGATGGGAATTCCCACCCCGGAAGCCAGACCAAGGAATAGATGTTGAGGCTGCATCAGCCTGGAGGGTGGCCTTGCTGAGCCCAGGCTCTAACGCTGCTCTGTGGTTGAGGGGGTCTTGTGGGGAGGGGTGTCTGGGTGGAATTGTCTGCTGCAGTGCCAGCAATGCCCACAAAACAAGACCCTGGAGATGCAGGGACTGATTACAGAGAAACGCAAACAGGATTTACTCTGTCAATGCTGGTGGCTGGAGGTTGGACTACATCGGGGGTTTCACCAGGATTTACTTCAGCCTTGCAGACAGCTTCCAGCTGCCTCAGTCAGCCCTCTTGGTTCAGGTGGTGCTAGGAAGCATCAAGGTGTCGCCCTGTCCGCTTTCCACACAGAGCGCTCGCTATATTCTGCTCTGTCTCAAAGCCCAGATCCACTGCAGTACTGTTTCCTGAGTGCCCACGAGGTGCAGGGCCTCAGGGGTTATAAGACAGGAAGCCCGCTTCCTTCTTGTCTGCTGGCAGCTCAATGTCTGTATGGGGAGATGGTGGACAAGCATCTTCTGCCAGGTCTGGAGAGATGGGCTTGCCCGGTGGTAGGGAGAGGAGCTGGGCCTGGACAGAGAGTGAAGGTTGGTATTTTATGGCGGAACTGTAGCTAAGGCCCTCTCTATGCTGCATCCTCATCTCCGTCTTGAGAATTTGTCACTGGTGTTTTGAGCAGCTATTCAGACTCCGTGTGTTAGGAAGGGAAAACTTCAAAGAAAGGTTCTGTTTTGTTCACTGAATGCACAGGGACATGAACTCAGAAAGGTGTCAAGTTGTGTAGCAAGAAAAGTGTTGCACAGGAAAGTTCTAGAATCACATCCTGGCATACTCTGGGGTGGCTGCAGCTCTGTTCCTCATGCCTCTGTTCTTTGTTTCTGTCTCCACTTCAACCCCAGCCAGGCCATCCGTGAGCTGCAAGAAGAGGTGTCCCGGCTCCGTCTGCGGCTGGAGGACAGCCTGCACCGGCCACCCCAGGGCAGCCCAGCATGCCCAGCGTCTGTCTTTGACCGCCCCGCCCGGACCCGCGGCCGACCAGCGGACTCCCCAGCCACCTGGGGCTCCCATTATGGCAGGTGGGTGACCTCAAAACTCTCACCTCTGTCCTGGTGGCAGCTACAGAGGATAGTCTTGGCTGGCCTCTGGCTCTCCCCAGACATATGGACTCAGGCACTGCCACATCCCTCTCTCACTCACTCATTCATTCATTCACTGTAGAATTTGTTCACTGTGCAGTATTTGATGCACAAAAGAATATAAACCTTTATGTTAATAATAAAGAATAGGCCGGGCGCAGTGGCTCACGCCTGTAATCCCAGCACTTTGGGAGGCCGAGGCGGGCAGATCACAAGTTCAGGAGTTCGAGACCAGCCTGACCAACATGGTGAAACCCCATCTCTACTAAAAATACAAAAATTAGCCGGGCGTGGTGGTGCGTGCCCATAACCCCAGCTACTCAGGAGGCTGAGGTAGGAGAATTACTTGAACCTGGGAGGCGGAGGTTGCAGTGAGCTGAGATCGTGCCACCTCACTGCAGCCTAGGCAACAGAAAGAGACTGTCTCAAAATAATAATAATAATACTAAAGAATAATACAATGAATATCCCTGGACCCACCACCCAATCAAAGAGTTAGAACACATTGCCAGGATGCCTACCCTCTCACCTACTAATTCGGTGTTGGTTCATTTATGACAATGACATAAAATCAGCTGGCTTCTTTTGAGTGTTTCTATGGGAGGGCACTTGATGAAGGGTTTTATCTGAACATTTTCTCATTTATCTTTTTATAACCCTCTGAGGTAATTGCTCTTATTATCCCCACTTGACAGATGAGGAAACTGAGAGTCAGAGAGGCTCAGAGCCATTTTCTGTGAAACTGACTTCAGACTTCTTTACTCTCTTCCTTCCATCGTGTTAGAAGCATTTCTCCAGGTTGAGCTTCTCACAAATCACCTTTAAAGGCCGCACAAAACCGCATCCAGTGACATCATCTCTCTTTCCTTTTGCTAGTAAATCCACAGAGAGATTGCCTGGTGAGCCTAGAGGTGAAGAGCAGATTGTCCCTGCAGGAAGGCAGCGAGCCCGATCTTCCTCAGTGCCTCGGGAGGTGCCCCGACTGTCCCTGAGTAAGTGACCACCTGCCAAGGCTGATTTCTGGAGGCCACAGTCTGAGTATATTGGCTCAGTGGTCAGAGACCACAGCAACAGCATTCAAGGAAACTTGGAGAAGGGTTTTTGTGCATCTGTTTTAGGATATTACGGTGCTATGCAGCACAGTGCACTTCTAATGTCCTGCACACCTACTGTGTGTAGGGTGTCTGTAAGGACTTTGTAGCTGCCATCTTGCTTAACCTCCACTGCAAGATGGTCATATTATCCACATTTCACAGATAAGGGCGCCGAAGCCCAGTGAGCGCAGGGGACGTGCTAAAGGATCAGGGCTCTGGAGTCAGTAGCCGGGATCAACCGAGCTCCCCTCCACTTGTCCTTGGCCGAGTTGTTTACCTGCTCTGAGCAGTTAAAGGGACAGCTCACCATGTAGTTATAACAATGTCCACCTCGTGGGATTGCTGTGAAGATGCCCAACACGGCACACACACAGCGTCCAGAGTAGCGCTTGGCACGGGAGCAGGGTTCCGGAAATGCCAACTGTTACTCCTAAGGGGGAGATTGGGGATTAAAACCCAGGCATTTGCCCCAGAGCCTAAACTCATGGTATACCCACTCCTTGAGCTGTGTGACCCCCCCGCCTTGCCCCCTCTGATGTCCCACTTTTTCCACCTCAGGTTCAGAATCTGAGCTGCCCTCCCCGCCACTGTTCTCTGAGAAGAGCAAGACCACCAAGGACAGTCCACAGGCAGCTCGGGATGGAAAGAGAGGGGTGGGCAGTGCTGGATGGCCAGACAGGGTCACCTTCCGGGGCCAGTACACAGGTAGGTCAGGAGGGAGGGCCGGGATAGGTGCAGCCCCTGGCGTCAGGGGGGTCTCCTCTGTTATGAGAAGCCTTTTACATATACCCAGTGGGCCATTCACATATCATTTTCTATTTGTTCCGTGAGATGAAAACCGGGAAGCATTGCCTCCATGAATCTCGGTGCACTTGTTCATTCATTCATTCATCCATTCATTCAGCAAACACTTTCTGATGTCTCCCCTTTGCCAGGGCCCATGCTGGGTTCTGGGAAGCCTGTTCAGCTGGTCAATCCTAGAGATTCTGATCACCTGCTCTTTTCCGGCTCCGAACGTATAGGGTGGACACTGAATTGGATGTGCCATTTGCACCTGGCTTCCTTCAGGTTCTCATTTCCACAGGGCCCCTGTGTCTCAGGAAGTAGGACCTGGCACAGAGTAAAGACTTGAGATGACACATGGTAGCATTTCAAGTGCTTAACATTAACAAAAAAATATGGATCGGGCGTGGTGGCTCGCACCTCTAATCCCAGCACTTTGGAAGGCCAAGGTGGGAGGACCACCTGAGATCAGTAGTTCAAGACCAGCCTGGCCAATGTGACGAAACCCCGTTTCTACTAAAAATACAAAAAAATTAGCTGGCGTGGTGGCACGTGCCAGTAATCCCAGCTATTTGGGAGGCTGAGGCACAAGAATCGCTTGAACCCAGGAGGCAGAGGTTGCAGTGAGCTGAGATTGTGCCACTGCACTCCAGCCTGGGTGACAGTGAGACTCCATCTGAAATATATATATATGGTTCTCACCTTCATGAATCTGACTGTGTAGGAGAGAAGATGATAACCAGTAGGTAATTATAGTAAAGGCAGTGTCTCTCACAGACACCTTGCAGAGGAGGGAGGGCTGCTGACCTCAGATTCTGGGGACAAGGCAAGAGGCCAGAGGCACATGTCTGCTCCATGGAGCGTAATGAGGGAGTCGACAGAGGCCAAGGAGTTAGAAGTGAGAGTAGCAGGAGCACCTCCAAGCTCACTGCCCAATCTCTGTGGACTTCCTAGCAAAAGGAAAGAGATGATATCATTGGATGAGGTTTTGTGCAGCCTTTAAAAGTAATCTCAACCCTTAAAAGTGAGCTCAACCTGGAGAAATGCTTCCAACACAATGAGAGGAAGAGAGTGTAGAAGTCAAGATCAAAGACTGTGAAGTCAGTCTCTCAGAAAATGGCTCTGAGCCTCTCTGACCCTCAGATTCCTCATCTGTTGCATTGGGAAAATAAGAGCAATCACCTCAGTGCCACATACACAAAGCCAGAACAGCACAGGAGGGAAATGAGATGATGAGACCTCTCCACAGTGGCTTCAGGTGTCATCCAGAAGAAACTCAGGGATGAGTGAGGAAGCCACAGTCCATCCAGCTTTCTAATAACATCAAGTGCTTTACAGCTGCCAGGCACTGGGCGGAGCACGACACGGATATGGCCCCATTCAGTCCTCCCAAGAAGCCTGTGAAATGGGCGCTATGTTTATCCCCATGTTACAGCCACTCAGAGCATGAGGAGAAAATGCCACTGACCCGGTGCCTGAGCCATTCAGATCCAAACCAGCAAGTCGGGGTGTAGGGAATAGCATCACTTGTTCATTTCTTATTGTTGCTTTGCTTATCATTTCTTCCTGGCCTGCTTTCAAATCCTGACTTAGCCTGGGTGTGTTGGTTGCTACTGGATGTCAGCTGGTTCTAGGATCTGAGATGAAACAGAGTAGGAGTCTGGAAAAAGCTTACAGTAAACAGACACAAAAATGTATGATGATGTATATGTGTGTATGTGTGTCATACTTACATATGTACATATTTTACACGTGTGTGTGCACACTCAACGTATGCACACGTGAGAGAGAGAGACAGAGACTATTAAAACCATCTGGAGGAAGAGGAGATCGTTATTCCAGAATCCCCCTCAATTTTGCGTCCATCCAGAGGGCTGATACTGACAGTTCTGGTTTCTTTCCCCAGGCCACGAATACCATGTTCAGTCCCCTAAGGCGGTCCCAAAAGGCAATGGCACAGTCTCCTGTCCCCACTGCCGGCCCATTAGGACCCAGGATGTGGGTAAGGAATGGTACCTGGAAAACTGGCCCAGGCAGCCGTGGCTGCAGCGTCTTGCCCTCAGGGGAGTGTGTACTTGACAAGATCTGGCCTGCCCTGAACTTAGCAGTGGGTTATAGGGACAGACCAGCAGCACCCAGGATTTTTCTGGGTGTCCTGCCATCACATCTGTTGCTCCAGGTGCTGCTGCCTGAGGCCACCCTCCTTGATTTAAGAAGTTCCCGAAGGGTCCTGATAGGTGGGCTCCAGGCAGCAGGGGGCCTGGCATCAGTGATTATATCTTATTCTTCCCTCCATCCTCCCTTCACCCCTCATACTTTCCCCCAAACCCACAGGGAGGAGTGGCAGAGAGAGCAGCAGTCCGAGAATCCAGGCAATGGGTTCCAGTCCCAGTTCTGCCACTTACTTGCTGTGTGACTTTAGGCCAGTTCCTTGACTTCTCTGTGCCTCAATCACCACATCTATAATCAAAGGATTGGAAAAGATGGTCTCTAGGACTTTTCAAGCAATTGTGATGATAATAACTGATGATAATGAGCTATTTATTAAGTCCCTCTGTATAGAGGGTATCATGTTAAGGGTTTTGCATACATTAATCCTCGCAGTTCTATGAACTAAGTACTGCAGTACTGTTACATCTATTTTATAGGCAAGGACACCAAGGCGCAGAGAGATTAAGTAACTTGCCCAAGGGCACACAGCTTACAAGTGGTAGAAACAGGATTTGAACCCAGGTCTTTGTGACTCCAGAGTCCCACCTCTTCACTGCTATGCTCTGCCTATGCTAGTGTTAGAGTCCTGACAGGCCTCTCCGTTCATGCATTCATTCATTCATTCACACATCACTTACCCTTATGTGGCCCTGGGCCCTGTCCCCAAGGAACATATGACAAAGCAGAGTGACCAGAGCTGGGGTAAGGGAGCACGAGTGGGGCTGGGGGCTGCCTGACTCTGCCTGGGTGGGTGGGAGGGCTTCCCAGAGGGAGTGGTGGTTTTAGCCGAGGCCTGAAAGAGAAACACATCAGCCTTGGAACTCACCCAGGTGTGGCATTGGGGATCTGAGTGGGAAGAGAACAATGGCTCCCTCTCTCCGCCTGCTCCCTTTTGCCTCTACTGACCCCCCTGGTTCCCTGGGGGACTGTTCTGGGTCACTCTCTCGTGGAGAATGGGTCTGTTTCACTGGGGGTGGGGGGTGGGGGGTGGGCTGCCTTTGGGAGAGCCCGGGCTTAGGATCCAAGGACCACTGCTTCCCAGCTCTGAGGCCTTGGCCAATTACTTGACGTCTTGGAGCCTTAATTTCCCCATCTGTAAAGTGGGGGAGTGAGGACAGTGGCTAGCCCAGTGGCTTGTTGGATTTGATAAAATAATGCAGGAAGGCTCTTAGCAGAGGGCCTGGCTCATTAAATGCTTGCTCTCACTGTCGTGGTTGTTGTCAGTGTCATCACCCAGACGGAGGCGGCTTGTCTCCTCTGCAGTGGGTCCCGAGGAGAGCTCAGTGCTGCAGAAGGCCCGTGTGGGGGCTCCCGATCTGATGATTTAGACGTAATCCTCCCCTGACATCTCTTCCTCCTCTTCTAGGTGGTGCTGCCACAGGGGACCCACTGGGACCGCCTCCCGCTGATACCCTTCAGTGTCCCCTGTGTGGTCGAGTTGGTTCTCCCCCAGAGGCAAATGGTCCAGGCTCAGCCACCTCTGGTAGGGACAAACACTACTTCTTGTCTTAGCCAGGCCCTCAGCTCTCCTTGACCAGGGTTATTAGACCTGCGTGAGTTTAACTGGGGCAGCTGTTCTCCCAGTCTGGGACAGAGCAACGGGGGCAGAGGATTTGTTTCCCAAAGAGAGACCTGCCCAGCATGGAGTCTTACAGGGTAGGGCCTGTCCAGCTCTCATAGGGGAAGGGCTGGGTGGACCCTCCATCCATGGCTGGATCTGCCCAAGTGGTCAGACTCTGTCTCTGTGCTGTTCCCTCCCTGATAGGGGCAGAGAAGGCCACCAAGAGGAGAAAAGCACCTTCAACTCCCAGCCCCAAGCAGAGGAGCAAGCAGGCGGGGTCGTCGCCACGCCCGCCCCCCGGACTGTGGTATCTGGCGACAGCGCCCCCAGCACCAGCCCCTCCGGCCTTTGCCTACATCTCCTCGGTTCCCATCATGCCTTATCCACCTGCCGCTGTGTAAGAGCCTTTCATTCTGACTTTCCCAGCCTCTTTGTGTAGATCACTCAATATGTTAGCATTCAGACCTGTGTGGGGCAGCTGAGATGCAGTGTACTCCTCCTGTGTTTTATCCCTGCGTGGATAACTTTCAGTAGGAGCCCAGCACTCATGTAGTCACTCAACAAAGCCAACACTCATATAGTCACTCAACAAACCCACGTACCAAGGAGAGTGCTCGGCCCTGGGACCCAGCAGTGAAGGGGGCTAGCAAGAGGGCCCTGCCCTCTGGGAGCTTATAACTTTGTGGAGACTGAGAATCCTAACCATCTTCCATTTTCCTTATGGGTTTTCTCAGCAAGTAAGTGATGAGTACTGGGGTTCTTAAAAATATAGACTTTATTTTTTAGGACAGTTTTAGATTTATAGGGAAATAGAGCAGATAGTCGAGAGAGATTCCCACGATCCTCCTCACTCCCGCACACACAGTTTCCCCTATTATGAATATCTTACGTTAATCTGGCACACTGGCCACATCAGTGAAGCAATATCCACACATTGTTGGTAACTGAGGTCCATAGTTTCTTCAGGCCGTTTTCCTCCAAAGTCCTTTCTCTATTCCTGAATCCCATCCATGATCCCACACGGTGTGCGATTGTCATGCCTCCTTAGGCTCCCCTCAGCTGTGACAGTTTCTCAGACGTTCTTGTTTTTGATGACCTGGACTTCTTTGAGGAGTCCTGATCGGATATATTATAGGACTTTTTGCACAGATTCTGGGTATAACATCAGTCAAGCCAGGAGGGGCAGGGCAGCTAAGACAGAAGTGCCGTGGGTTTGGAGTTGGCCAGAGCTACGGTTGAGTCCCATCTACCCGCTAGTAGTACTGTGGCCTTGGCAAACGAACTTCCTCTCAGAGCCTCAGCTTCCTCATCTGTTAAATGGGGGAAGAGTCTCAACCACGTACTTAATCCTGTGCGTGAGGATAAAGTGTGGCACATGGCAGGAACCCAATGAGATGTATGTGGAGTTTATGGTGCCGTGTGGGCACGTGCTCACTGCTGAGCAAACAGTAGCTTCGCCATCACAGAGAATGTTGCTGTTGCTCAGTGTTGTCACTAGTAGGAAGAAAAAGGAGTAAAAGTGAGTTCAACATGATAGGAGTGTGCAGGGCACAAAAGCCCAGTCCCCAGAAGTAGGAAACCTGTCTCGTCTCAGCTGTCAGCAGCTACTTCTCTGCCTGCTTCCCCTGCTGTGAAATGAGTCGATTGGGACTGGGTATCTTCAGTGGCTGTGTTGCCAGAAGCCTGGGTGTGTGGGCAGTGAGGGCCTGAGTCGCTGTGAGGGCTGGTGCTCGGTGGAGCAGGGGTGCAAGGCACCATCCAACCCTGGTCCTCTATTCGGGAACCAGGCCCATAAGTGTGCTTTAAAAAATTCTTTATTTGTATGTATTTTCTGAGGAAGGGTCTGGCTTTGTCAACCAGGCTGGAGTGCAGTGGCGCCATCTCGGCTCACTACAACCCCCACCTCCGGGATTCAAGCTATTCTCATGCCTCCCCCTCTCAAGTAGCTGGGACTACAGGAGTGCGCCACCACACCCGGCTAATTTTTTTGGTATTTTTGGTAGAGACTGGTTTTCACCATGTTGGCCAGGCTGGTCTTGACCTCCTGGCCTCAGGTGATCTGCCCGCCTTGGCCTCCCAAAGCACTGGCATTACAAGTGTGAGCCACCGCGCCCGGTCTGTAAATTTGCTTTCTTGCTGCCCTCTCAGCTGAGTCTGTGCAAGTCGTTAAGGAATCTTCCGCTCCAGCAAAGATGAGAACCAATGTTGCATGCTGAGACCTCCAGCAGACACGGTGAAAGCGCCTGCTAGTGTTTCAACTCATTAGTCGGGAAAGGTTTTGCCCGGAATTTGGTGACCCCACGGTAGCCATGGAGTCTTTACTTCTCCTGAGGCCCCGTTCCACGTTCTTCCAGGCTCAGGCCTGTGGGCAGAACTCACCAGGTTGCTGTTTCCAAGTCAGGATGGGTGGGTTATACCTATGCCTCAGTTTCCTTCTCCGCGAAATGGGTTGTTACGGTGAGGATTGAATGAAGTAATGCATGGAGAGCCCATAGTACATAGAAGTTGGCCAATAATGATGGTGCTTCTAATGCTGCTAGAATTTGCGCTGGTGACACCCTGAAGTTTCTTCAGCTGCTTGCTAGTCAGCAGGACTGAAAGGCCGGTGGTTGAGACCAGTGTAGTTTGGAAAGTGGAGTGGGCCTGTGCTGCCCCCTGCTGGGCAGCCGCCCCATAGCCCCTGCAGCCGAGGCTTTGCAGCCCAGAGGGACTTTTTCAGCGTTGGCCCTAGGGAGAGTTTTGGGTAACTTTCAGGCCAAGTTGGTCATCAAATTAACAGGAGGTGGGGTGTGTGAAAACCCAGCCCAGACAGTCCCTACTTTTACAATGGTTCGATTTATGATTTTTCGACGTTACAGCGGGTTTATAGGGGCATACCCCCATCGTAATTTGAGGAGCCTGTGTAGTTACTTACACCAGACAGTCCCTAGAGGAGGGAGGGCAGGCTGCTGTTTATGGGATCCAAGAAGCCCGTTCATTCAGTTCAGATTATTTTATCAGCATCTGCTGCTTGCCAGTTAGCACACATTAGATACGTGAGGAGAGTCGGGCCTAGGTGTGAACCCATGGCTGCCCCTTCCAGCTGTCTGGCCCTGGGTCTTAGGAGCTCACGTTCATGGAGCACTTACCGGAGCCAGGCAGTGCCAGGCTTTTTACCCGGATTTTCCATCAGCTGTAAGCTGAGAGGTTGCTAACTGTGGTCGTTTTAGGTGGGAAAACAGAGGCCTTGCAAAGTGACTTAGGCAGTGCCAGGCTTTTTACCTGAATTTTCCATTGGCTCTAAGCTGAGAGGTTGCTAACTGTGGTTGTTTTAGGTGGGAAAACAGAGGCCTTGCAAAGTGACTTAGCTTGTCCAGAGAGTCCCATGGCTAGCACAACAGAATGACCGGGATTTGGGGCAGGGCTCCAGGGCCTGAGCTGCTAAGGCCAGCTCATTCTACTGCCTCCTGAATCACTTAGCTTCTCTGAGCTCCACTTTGCTCATCTGTAAAATAAAGATAAAGGCACCAACTGGTACATGGGTACCAAAGATGAGGATGCCAGCCCTGGGCTAGGCACTGGGTTTAACTGTTGGAGGAACTGCCAGACTGTTTTCCACAGTGGCACCACTGTTTGCATTCCCACCAGCAGTGCTGAGGGTTCCATTTTCTCCACATCTTTGTCAACACTTGTTGCTATCTGTCCTTTTTGATGTTAGCTAGCTTAGGGGGTGCACAGTGGTTTCACTTTGCATTTCCTGATGGCTAAGGATGTGCATCTTTTCATGTATGTATTGTCCACTTGAGTATCTCCTTTGGAGAGATGTCTGTTTGGATCATCTGTTTTTACACACTGTATAATAATGCAAGTTAGAAAGTGGGGGCTCAGGAATAAAGCCAGAGTTTCCAGTGTGCCAAACAAGATGCCAATGAATGACTCTGCTACATCCTCCTAAACTTATTCCTGATTTAGGCCCATGCTTCTTTATCTCCCTCCTCTACCACACATACCCTTTATTCAACAGTGCTGAGGCCACACCCCCCTCTTGGCCACTGCTGGTTTCCTTGAACCCTAAACTTAGTGGCCCTGATGGATGCCATTGTCACCTCTTAGGGAAATCCGTGCTTCATCTCAATGGGCTTCTCAGCCCATTCCCGCAGCACTTTTAAACAGCACCTCACATTCCTGTAGGACTGGGCTAGGAAGGATGCCCTTCTACCCACTTCCCAGGACATGGGGCCAGACCCTCCCACTCCTGCAGAATCCCTATTATTATTATTGTTATTAATTATTGCCTTTATCCAGCACCCCATGCTTGGCAAATGGAACCCCCAGATATTCTCCAATGAGGGGGTTTTGCTGTCAGGCCTGGAGTGATTCTGGCCTTCCCAACATCCAGCTCCAAGAAAGTTGCAGGAGTCCATGTTTTCTTGTCCCACTGTAACTCCAGAGCCTGGCACACTGGCTGGCATGTACTAGATGGGCAGTAAATCACATGAACAGGTAGATTGAACTTCCTGTCCTTGAACACCTGTTCTGGGTCAGACACTCGTGTTGTTATCTTCCTTCATCTTTCTAAGAAATCCCTGGATGTGTGCTCATTACTCTCATTTTAGAGGTAAAGAAATTGAGACCCAGAGAGTCGGAGCCAGTGGCCCAGCTGGGATTTAGCAGGGGGTTAACCCCACACGCGGTGCTCCTTGGCTTGTCCCCAGCCCTCCCTGTGTGTAACGAGCCCACTCACTTCTCTCCTCAGGTACTATGCGCCCGCAGGACCTACCTCAGCCCAACCAGCCGCCGAGTGGCCCCCCACAGCCTCTCCCCCACCAGCCCGGAGACACCGGCACTCCATCCAGCTCGACCTGGGTGACCTAGAGGAGCTCAACAAGGCCCTGAGCCGGGCCGTGCAGGCTGCTGAGAGCGTCCGCTCCACCACCAGGCAGATGAGAAGCTCACTGTCGGCCGACCTGCGCCAGGCTCACAGCCTGCGGGGCTCCTGCCTCTTCTGACTTCACTGGGGGCCCAGAGACAGATGAGTGGGCGGGTGAGCAGGTGGCCTGCCAGGCCAGGAGTGGGCTGGAGCTGCTGAGGCCCAGAAAGCCCGCATGGTTCCTCACCAGGAGGGTCTCCCTCCAGCACGGGCCCCACCTGCTCAGTCCCTGTGCTTTCCAAGTGGAGGGGGTGTCAGTTCGGTCACCAAGAGAAGCGACTTCCCAGGAGCACCAGTCCCCTCACAGAGGTGCTGTGAGCGAGGCCTCCTTCGGCCCAGGCGGAGCCTCGGGCAGTCTCTCCTGGTCCTGCATGTGTCCACCTCCCGCTAATAATAGGTATTTTGTATACAGATGGACAGATATTTTTTTAAACAGGGGAGTTTTCCTGATCTTGGTTCCTCCTTAGGGGGCCAGACAAGAAAGGAAAGGCCTACGGTTTCTGGAGCAACCCTGTCCCCCACCTGTGACCAGTCACTCTGGGGCAAGCATCTCTGGGAAGGGCACAGCCGGAGACCTTTCTCCTAGTGACTGGCAGTCAGCGGGGCATTTTAGGATGTCAGGGCCCCAGGGTGACATGTGTCCAGCTTCTCTATGGCAGCAGAGGCCTTTCCCACAGACCTGCTGGGGTGGAGACAAGCTACAAAGTGCCCAGGATGCCATCCACCGCGGTCCCCTTCAGTACCTCACACATGGTCCCCAGCTTCTCCTAGGATCCCAGTGGCATTTATCAGTGGCCAGCTACCTGCCAGGCCCAGGCTGGGGCACGGTCTGTGGCCACGAGGCCAGGCCGCCTCCCGCACCCCCACCCCGTGGCAGCGCATACCTCTGCATTTCTGGAATGTGTGTGCATCAATGATGTTTGTATATTTGAGGCATTTAAAAATCTATTTTCGTTACAAGGGCAAATGAAGAATGAATATTGATCTTAAAAAAAGAAAAGAAGACAAAAAAAAAAAAAAATACCCAAAGCCATCCATGTCTCTGCTGTGTGTCATTAAACTTTTGCCTTCTAAAGTCAAGTTCATGGGGTGGAAAATTTGAAGCCCAGACAAGCCCTTTCCCAGGGGAGCTGTTGGGTGCTCTGCCTGCCTCCCTCTGGTGGCTTCTGTTTCTCCAGTTTTCCCCCTTTGCCTATCTCAGAACCACAAATCTTTCAACTGCAGAGGGCTTTGACGTGGGGCTACCTAACCAAGTCCCTTTTGACTGAGGCCGGAGATGTAAGCGAGGCACACAGCAAGTTGCTGTCTATAAGAGCATGCACCTGGACACTCCAGTGCTCCTTTCTCTCTCTCTTTCTTTTTTTTAATTTTTTTTTTATTTTTTTGAGACGGAGTTTCACTCTGGTTGCCCAGGCTGGCGTACAGTGGCGGAATCTCAGCTCACTGCAACCTCTGCCTCCTGGGTTCAAGCGATTCTCTTGCCTCAGCTTCCTGAATAGCTGGGATTACAGGCATGCACCACCACGTCCGGCTAATTTTGTATTTTTAGTAGAGACAGGGTTTCTCCATGTTGGTCAGGCTGATCTTGAACTCCCAACCTCAGGTCATCTGCCCACCTCAGCCTCCCAAAGTGCTGGGATTACAGGCGTGAGCCGCGGTGCCTGGACTTCCAGTGCTCCTTTCAATAGCGAACAGCAGCTGCCATTTAGGGAGCAGCTGCTGGACCCTGATCCCTGTGCTAAGCCCTGGGCATGTCCTGCTTCACACAGTCCATGCGCTAACCCTCCAGACCCTCACTCTGCCCCGCTTTTACTGATGAGAGTGAGGTTCCACTGGGCCATCTGCCCAAACTGGTTTGGGAGAGAGCCTGTGTTTGAACTCATTAGTTTGACTCCAAAGTCCACATTCTTTGTTGTGTGTTTTTTGCTTCCTGTACCTCCATGATTCTTTTTCTCTTGACCTCCTGTTTCTTCTTCATGTGGCTTTTTCTTCTACCTTCCCCACTTCTCGTCTCCCTTGCTTCTCCCTGCCCTGCCCACCACGACTCATTTCTGTTTTAATTTTCAGCAGATCCTCCTCAGTAGGGTTTAAAATGGTGTCTCACTAATAGTAAAACTGAAATGGAAAAACTTCTTGTAGGTGTTGAGCCTTCAGTTCCAGGCCATTGTGGGGCCCCAGAGGCTGTTCTGTCCCCTTGCCTTCTGAGGACATCAGGTCGGTGTCCCCAGCCTCCGTGCTGTGGGCACAGCAGTGGTTTGAGTGCTGAGCAAAGGGTGCCATAGTCTTGGCCCTGTGGAGTTTGGCTGCTAGGATAGGAGGTACAAAGGGGAGTGGTGCCTGAGGACACAGGACTAGACCCCGGGGCATCAGGGACTCAGGCTCATGGTCCTGTCACCTGGGATGGTGTAGACAGCTGCACACATGGAATTACTCAAACAACTCAGGCCCAATTTTTCTGCCACAGGAGGGGTGCTGCTTCCCTCATGTAACAAGAGGCTGTCAATCACGATCACCCAGGTCTGGGTGAGGCCGGCCCTTCGAGGCTTGTACCACTGAGTGAGCCATGCCTCCAGCTTGGCTCCACCTCATGGCTCCATATTTGCAACATGTCAGCTGATTTTCAGGGACCAGCCTCACCCTTATGTGTTGTCTCCTTCTTCTGTGTCTCCCAGGTGAGCACCCTGAGGACATGTCCATGGAGACACCCAGCCCCTCTGGCCTGGGCCCCAAGCCCTCTGCATCACCCCAGCCCTTCCCTGGCCCAGGCAACTACCTCTTGCTTGGATGCCCACAGCAGCCTTCACTCAGGCCTTCCTGCCTGCAGCCTTGACCCCCAGCATGCCTCCCCACATGGCCATGGTAATACTGGAATAAGGTCCTTGTGATGGGCACCACATGCCTGAACTCTCCCCACCTGATCCACCTTGTATTAGTCTGTTCTCACATTGCTATAAAGAAATACCTGAGACTTGGTAGTTTATTTTAAAAAGAGGCTTAATTGACTCACAGTTCTGCAGGCTTAACAGGAAGCATGGCTGGGAGGCCTCAGGAAACTTACAATCATGGTGGAAGGCAAAGAGGAAGCAAGTCCCTTTTTCACAAGACAGCAGGAGAGAGAGAGCGAAGGGGGAGGTGCTACACACTTTTCAACAACCAGATCTCCTGAGAAACAGCACTCAGGGGATGGGGCTAAACCATTAGAAGCCACTCCCATGATGTAATCACCTCCCACCAGGACCCACCTCCAACACATGGGGCTGAAAATTCCATGTGAGATTTGGGGTGGGGACACAGAGCCAAACCATTTCACACCTCCACTCCTGTTCCGAGTCTTGTGCCTCAAGGTTACTCGAATGCATCCTCTCATTTCCTTGCTTGCAGCAGAAACAGAAAGGGTTTTTTTTTTTTTTTTTTTTAATGAGTAGTTGAAGTTTTATTACAATCTTGCTAGTAGGAGGAAGGCCTTACCCTAGTCTCAGTTTAGAAATTCACATTTGTTTGCTTGTATTATTTTAAGTGGACACATAATGTACGTATTTATGGGGAACGGTGTGATATTGAATGTTCCCAACACAAAGAAATGGTAAACATTTGAGGTGGTGGAAATGAAATGTTCATGACCCTGATTTGATCATCACACATTGTACACAGGAGCAGCAGGTTGTGTTATCCTCCTCACCTTTCTCGACTGGTTCATGTGCCCCTTCCAGGAGGCCTTCCCAGACGTCTGCAGAAGCCAGCGTCTTCCCACAGTGCCGGGTTCCCACAGCACTCGGTGCCTGTCATCATCCATCCTGGCACATGTGAGGCTCTTCCCACCAGGGACAGTGTCTTATCCAGTGCCCGGCCAGGGTTCAACTCAGGGCAGGCTTCAGAATGAATGAATGAAGAAGTGACTAACAACCTAGCTGTTCCAAACACAGAAGCTTTATTGATGCAAATGAGGGAAAAAGCTGAGGTACATATGTCAGGTTGGAGGGGCAGGATGGCCCCCAAGTCTCTGTCCTGATCCAAGGCTGTGTCCTTCTAGGATTCCCCCTCCTCCTGTTTCTTCTCCTCCTCGTGCTGCCTCTCCCCCTCCTCCTGTTTCTTCTCCTTCTCGTGCTGCCTCTCCAGTGGCTCACACTTATCCTAGAAGGCAGCGGGCAGTTGGGGTGAGGGGGAAGCAGAGGGACAGGGAAAGGATGGGAGGCCTTCCAGGGAGAGGGCAGAATGCGCTCTGGCCTGTGGAACCAGTTCAACCAGGGCTCCAACCCTGGCACTGCCACTTCCAAGCTGGGTGATCTTTGGCAGGTCGTTTCTGTCTCTGAGCCTCAGCTTATTTGCCTCTGAAATGGGAGCTCAGACCCTTAAGAACCACAGACGTTTACTGAGCACTTAGGACCTGCCGGGCCCTTATGCTGCAGCTTCTGAATTCCTCACCACCGCCACTACTATGCAGATGATGTAACTGAGGCTCAGGATGGCCGTGGGACCCATTCGAGGCTCCCTAGCCGGACAGTGCGGGAACCAGGCTGTGCATCAGGTGAGCTGACTGCAGTGGTTCTGTTCATATGCCCTCTCCCAGGATCCTGGGGCTGGGGCTGGGGCTGGGGCACTAGTTCACACCACTGGTGGTCATTTCTGGTGGCAAATGGATGGAATTGTTTTTCTTTGAATAGTCATGAAAATGCTGCATGTATGTATTTTAAAAATGGGAACGAGCTCATCGGCGCTGTGACTTCACAGATATTAGGGCACGGGCCACTCCAAGACAAGTCTTCCGAACACAGGTTTAAAGAAAAGTGTTAAGGAGCTCACGATACAGTAATTCTCATTTGGAGCAAAAATCGGGATGGTGACTGTGGCCGTGCTGCAGTGTGGGTGACATTGAAAACCATGGTATCAATTCCCCACTGCACGGGTATTAAAAATGAGCAGGGAGTGGAGGTGAGATGAAAGCCTGGGGTTTGGGAGGCTTTTGTAGGTGGTAACTCCCCGCACTGCATCCTCTCCAGTTGTCAATCCCCCAACTCCTTGGCTCACGCTGTTCCCTCCTGTTAGCTTTGAGGTCCACCCTGGTTTCACAGGGACTTCTCCCTCCAGGACTCTCATCCACCACCCCTGGGCCTCGGTAGAGCTTAGCTGTCCCTACAGTGAGGCAGCTGCCTAAAGGCAGAAGAGCTGCGTAGCTGTGCAGCCTTGCCTGGCAGCTCTCCCGCTCTGGGCCTCTGGGGCTGCCCAAGTTGGGCCATGGACAAGGCGGGCACTGCCCAATCCCTTGCGTTTACCTTTTTCTGATCGGTGTACACGACGTCTGACCTGGGAATGCGCAAGCAGTCGAGAGCTTCGTAGAACTCACCCAGTTGCTCCTCGGTCGTCTCTGGCTTGTCAGCTGCAGGGGGAGCAAGGAGACTGACTGGGGATATGATGGGGTCTGGGCGAGAGGCCAGGGAGGGCTGGGGTTCTGGGGGCCGAGCCCCAGGGGTGGATGAATGGGGCGTGAGGCCTGAGTGGGGCATGAGCTTGGGACTGCGAAGCATGCCTACCATAGACAGACACCCCCCAATTCTTCTCATCGTTCACTTCGAAAGCCAGCATGAAGGTCTTCATGTCCCTGAGGATCAGCAGGTGAGCGAAATGCTCTTGGCCTCCCTCTGGAAGGGAAAAAGAGCCTCTGGGTGAGAACATGGGATGGCACAATGGTGCCTGTCCTACAGGTGAGGTACCTAGGTGTGTCCAGGACCACACAGCCCATCAGTGAAGGCCCGGGGCTTCTTTGGACCACCGTGTGCCCAGTCCATGCTGCATGCCCGGCTCCACGCCAAGCACGTTTTGTACATGGGATCTCAGGAGCCTCACACAGACCATGGCTGTCAGGGCCTTTCTCCCCATTTTACAGATGAGGAAAATGAGGCCCAAAGAGGAGGCTTGGGCTGCTAAATGGTGTCAGTTCAGCTCCACCAGCTCCCTGCTATGCGCCATCTCTGGGGTGATGGGGGACATAGTTGAAGGCACCACCTCTCCAACATACAGGCTTCCACCCTTGGTTTCCAAAGGATCTTAAAGAGGGCATGAGAGAGAGGCAGGTCTGAAGCCAGCCTGGAGTTCCAATTCTAGTTCTAATTATAAGCTGTGTGACCTCCGGGAAACTATTTGAGGTCTCTGTTCTTCTGTTTCCTCATCTGATTCTCGTACTGTCCTGTTAGAGTTGTTTCTGAGGACGTTGTAAGAGCTCAAAAAATGTTAGTGGTTATTTCTCTGTGCCCAAAGCCTCCAGGGCTCTATATCCAGCCCCCACCTTATGCTGGCCTGCCCTGTTCCCATGGTGAACCCTCCCGCCTGAGGACTGGCCCTCACCGTATTTGGAGATGGTCCCATTTTCCCGCTGGACATTCAGGTAGCTGGTGTTATAGATGCACTGGTTCTGTCTAAAGCCAAACAGAAGGCAGGAGGAAAACAGGAAGATTATTGAGAAGTGGCCAATCGCCCATCACAGTCCAGGGGCAAGAGTCCGGTGGAGATTAAAGCCAGCCCTCCCGGTTCCACCCATGGGAAGGCCAAGGCCAGGAAGAGGGTCTTCCAGCCAGAAGCTGAGATGGGGGTGTGTTGGAATGGGGGCTCTCACCGGGTCTGGTACTCTCTGAGAAAGATCGTGTCCTCTGTCTTGTTGGGGGTAAAGTAAAAGAAGGTTGCTTGGATCTCGTGAATCGACTTATTGTACTCCTCGTTTCGAAAGGCCGATGCAATATAAAACCACTTGCCAGAGATCTGGGGACAAGGTGGAAGCTGGTGATGGCGGCTTGATGCTGAATCTTTGACTGTCAGCCGGGAAGAGACTCAGGCAGATCTCTCCCTGATTTTGCAAATGGGGAGATGAGGCCCCTGATGGGCAGTGGACATGCAGGAGCTCTCCCCGAAGATCAGTCATTGTCCCCCAGGCAGCCCCTCCAGCCCCAGCACAGAACCGTACTCTGTGAAGGACTCTGCAGTGAGGCTTCTGAGTTTGGAAGCAGTCAGGGGGTGCCTCCAGAGTCCCCTGGGCTGGTGAGAATTTCACCCAGGGACCCAGAAGAGAAAAGGGCAGAGCCAGGAGCGGGGGGCCGACCACAGCCAGCAGGGAAAGGGAAGCCCAGAGAAGGGAGGTAGCTGCCCATGTGCTCAGGGCAGGGCTAGCCCAGGCACTCACCCGGTCCAGGGTGGCGTTGGTGATGGGCACCGGTACTAGGTTGGCACACAATGGAATCTGGGCTTCCAGCAGAGGTAGGAGGCTCAGGACTGTAAGAACCCAGGACAGCGCCATACTGAGATCAGGAGGTACCTGGAGCCAGGCAGTGCTGGTGGCTGCAGGGTGTGCAGTCACCTTTATAATAAACTGTGGGCAGTCACCTGGAGCCCAGCAAAAGTTTGCTTTGTGTCTGTGACACAATCCTGCCAGCACTTGGGAAATGCCTTGCACAAAAACCTTCCGCCAAAGGCCAGCTGAGGGTACTGCCTCCAAACCCAGGTCTAATTTGAGTTCCTGACATGGAGAGGTTACAAAAGCCCTAGAGTATGGCTGCCCAAGGCCAAGGTGGGTGCAGGGCTGCAGCAACATTAGTAAACGTGTGAGCCCACAGATTTCCATGGAGAGGGCTCCTGCCAGTAATCTCATGTCTTCATTCAATTCCCATCCCTCTGAGTGCCAAGACTTACTTCAGTGTGACCCCACCACAAACTTAATGATGAAGCCACCTTTGAGAGTCCCCAGGCTGGCATGGGAAGTGTGTTGTGGTGGGGAGAGTTGGGGTGAGGGATGCCAGGTGAAGGCAAGCATGGCTTCAGTTCCACTGAGTGTGGCAACAGCTGTGTCAGAGCCAAAGTTCAGTGGGGCCCCAACCCAGCCCGGGACACAGGCACATTTCCGAAAAGGGACATGCAAGTCGAATGTCTATTTCCAGTAAATATACTACTCGACAGGAAATTATCTCCCTGTTTTCCCCCATTCCCTGCCATCTGAGCAGGCAGCTTGCTTCTCTTTCACCAATACGCCCCCGATCCTAGAGCCGTGCCCAGTACTTCAAGGGCACTTGGTATATACTGTGGAATGAGTGATTCCGTGGCCCATTTGTGTTCCTACCTCATGGTTCAAGTCTTTATTTGTATGAATAAACACTTTCAGAAAGTATTCTTTTTTTTTTATTATACTTTAAGTTCTAGGGTACATGTGGATAACGTGCAGGTTTGTTACATATGTATACTTGTGCCATGTTGGCGTGCTGCACCCATCAACTCGTCAGCACCCATCAACTCGTCATTTACATCAGGTATAACTCCCAATGCAATCCCTCCCCCCTCCCCCCTCCCCGTGATAGGCCCCAGTGTGTGATGTTCCCCTTCCTGAGTCCAAGTGATCTCATTGTTCAGTTCCCACCTATGAGTGAAAACATGCGGTGTTTGGTTTTCTGTTCTTGCGATAGTTTGCTGAGAATGATGGTTTCCAGCTGCATCCATGTCCCTACAAAGGACACAAACTCATCCTTTTTTATGGCTACATAGTATTCCATGGTGTATATGTGCCACGTTTTCTTAATCCAGTCTGTCACTGATGGACATTTGGGTTGATTCCAAGTCTTTGCTATTGTGAATAGTGCCGCAATAAACATACGTGTGCATGTGTCTTTATAGCAGCATGATTTATAATCCTTTGGGTATATACCCAGTAATGGGATGGCTGGGTCATATGGTACTTCTAGTTCTAAATCCTTGAGGAATCGCCATACTGTTTTCCATAATGGTTGAACTAGTTTACAGTCCCACAAACAGTGTAAAAGTGTTCCTATTTCTCCATATCCTCTCCAGCATCTGTTGTTTCCTGACTTTTTAATGATTGCCATTCTAACTGGTGTGAGATGGTATCTCATTGTGGTTTTGATTTGCATTTCTCTGATGGCCAGTGATGATGAGCATTTTTTCATGTGTCTGTTGGCTGTATGAATGTCTTCTTTTGAGAACTGTCTGTTCATATCCTTTGCCCACTTTTCGATGGGGTTGTTTGTTTTTTTCTTGTAAATTTGTTTGAGTTCTTTGTGGGTTCTGGATATTAGCCCTTTGTCAGATGAGTAGATTGCAAAAATTTTCTCCCATTCTGTAGGTTGCCTGTTCACTCTGATGGTAGTTTCTTTTGCTGTGCAGAAGCTCTTTAGTTTAATTAGATCCCATTTGTCAATTTTGGCTTTTGTTGCTGTTGCTTTTGGTGTTTTAGACATGAAGTCCTTGCCCATGCCTATCTCCTGAATGGTATTACCTAGGTTTTCTTCTAGGGTTTTTATGGTATTAGGTCTAACATTTAAGTCTCTAATCCATCTTGAATTAATTTTCGTATAAGGAGTAAGGAAAGGATCCAGTTTCAGCTTTCTACTTATGGCTAGCCAATTTTCCCAGCACCATTTATTAAATAGGGAATCCTTTCCCCATTTCTTGTTTTTCTGAGGTTTGTCAAAGATCAGATGGCTGTAGATGTGTGGTATTATTTCTGAGGACTCTGTTCTGTTCCATTGGTCTATATCTCTGTTTTGGTACCAGTACCATGCTGTTTTGGTTACTGTAGCCTTGTAGTATAGTTTGAAGTCAGGTAGCGTGATGCCTCCAGCTTTGTTCTTTTGACTTAGGATTATCTTGGCAATGCGGGCTCTTTTTTGGTTCCATATGAACTTTAAAGCAGTTTTTTCCAATTCTGTGAAGAAACTCATTGGTAGCTTGATGGGGATGGCATTGAATCTATAAATAACCTTGGGCAGTATGGCCATTTTCACGATATTGATTCTTTCTATCCATGAGCATGGTATGTTCTTCCATTTGTTTGTGTCCTCTTTGATTTCACTGAGCAGTGGTTTGTAGTTCTCCTTGAAGAGGTCCTTTACATCCCTAGTAAGTTGGATTCCTAGGTATTTCATTCTCTTTGAAGCAATTGTGAATGGAAGTTCATTCATGATTTGGCTCTCTGTTTGTCTGTTACTGGTGTATAAGAATGCTTGTGATTTTTGCACATTAATTTTGTATCCTGAGACTTTGCTGAAGTTTCTTATCAGCTTAAGGAGATTTTGGGCTGAGACAATGGGGTTTTCTAAATACACAATCATGTCATCTGCAAACAGGGACAATTTGACTTCTTCTTTTCCTATCTGAATACCCTTTATTTCTTTCTCTTGCCTGATTGCCCTAGCCAGAACTTCCAACACTATGTTGAACAGGAGTGGTGAGAGAGGGCATCCCTGTCTTGTGCCAGTTTTCAAGGGGAATTTTTCCAGTTTTTGCCCATTCAGTATGATATTGGCTGTGGGTTTGTCATAAATAGCTCTTATTATTTTGAGATACGTTCCATCAATACCGAATTTATTGAGCGTTTTTAGCATGAAGGGCTGTTGAATTTTGTCAAAGGCCTTTTCTGCATCTATTGAGATAATCATGTGGTTTTTGTCTTTGGTTCTGTTTATATGCTGGATTACATTTATTGACTTGTGTATGTTGAACCAGCCTTGCATCCCAGAGATGAAGCCCACTTGATCATGGTGGATAAGCTTTTTGATGTGCTGCTGAATCCGGTTTGCCAGTATTTTATTGAGGATTTTTGCATCGATGTTCATCAGGGATATTGGTCTAAAATTCTCTTTTTTTGTTGTGTCTCTGCCAGGCTTTGGTATCAGGATGATGTTGGCCTCATAAAATGAGTTAGGGAGGATTTCCTCTTTTTCTATTGATTGGAATAGTTTCAGAAAGAATGGTACCAGCTCCTCCTTGTACCTCTGGTAGAATTCAGCTGTGAATCCATCTGGTCCTGGACTTTTTTTCATTGGTAGGCTATTAATTATTGCCTCAATTTCAGAGCCTGCTATTGGTCTATTCAGGAATTCAGCTTCTTCCTGGTTTAGTCTTGGGAGGGTGTAAGTGTCCAGGAAATTATCCATTTCTTCTAGATTTTCTAGTTTATTTGCGTAGAGGTGTTTATAGTATTCTCTGATGGTAGTTTGTATTTCTGTGGGGTCGCTGGTGATATCCCCTTTATCATATTTTATTGCGTCTATTTGATTCTTCTCTCTTTTCTTCTTTATTAGTCTTGCTAGCGGTCTATCAATTTTGTTGATCTTTTCAAAAACCAACTCCTGGATTCATTGATTTTTTGGAGGGTTTTTTGTGTCTCTATCTCCTTCAGTTCTGCTTTGATCTTAGTTATTTCTTGCCTTCTGCTAGCTTTTGAATGTGTTTGTTCTTGCTTCTCTAGTTCTTTTAATTGCGATGTTAGAGTGTCAATTTTAGATCTTTCCAGCTTTCTCTTGTGTGCCTTTAGTGCTATAAATTTCCCTCTACACACTGCTTTAAATGTGTCCCAGAGATTCTGGTATGTTGTATCTTTGTTCTCATTGGTTTCAAAGAACATCTTTATTTCTGCCTTCATTTCTTTATGTACCCAGTAGTCATTCAGGAGCAGGTTATTAAGTTTCCATGTAGTTGAGTGGTTTTGATTGAGTTTCTTAGTCCTAGTTCTAGTTTGATTGCACTGTGGTCTGAGAGACAGTTTGTTATAATTTCTGTTCTTGTACATTTGCTGAGGAGTGCTTTACTTCCAATTATGTGGTCAATTTTGGAATAAGTGTGATGTGGTGCTGAGTAGAATGTATATTCTGTTGATTTGGGGTGGAGAGTTCTGTAGATGTCTATTAGGTCTGCTTGCTGCAGAGATGAGTTCAATTCCTGGATATCCTTGTTAACTTTCTGTCTCGTTGATCTGTCTAATGTTGACAGTGGCGTGTTGAAGTCTCCCATTATTATTGTATGGGAGTCTAAGTCTCTTTGTAAGTCTTTAAGGACTTGCTTTATGAATCTGGGTGCTCCTGTATTGGGTGCATATATATTTAGGATAGTTAGCTCTTCCTGTTGAATTGATCCCTTTACCATTATGTAATGGCCTTCTTTGTCTCTTTTGATCTTTGATGGTTTAAAGTCTGTTTTATCAGAGACTAGTATTGCAACCCCTGCTTTTTTTTGTTCTCCATTTGCTTGATAGACCTTCCTCCATCCCTTTATTTTGAGTCTATATATGTCTCTGCATGTGAGATGGGTCTCCTGAATACAGCAAACTGATGGGTCTTGACTCTTTATCCAGTTTGCCAGTCTGTGTCTTTTAATTGGAGCATTTAGTCCATTTACATGTAAGGTTAATATTGTTATGTGTGAACTTGATCCTGCCATTATGATATTAACTGGTTATTTTGCTCATTAGTTGATGCAGTTTCTTCCTAGCCTCGATGGTCTTTACGTTTTGGCATGTTTTTGCAATGGCTGGTACCGGTTGTTCCTTTCCATGTTTAGTGCTTCCTTCAGGGTCTCTTGTAAGGCAGGCCTGGTGGTGACAAAATCTCTAAGCATTTGCTTAACTGTAAAGGATTTTATTTCTCCTTGACTTATGAAACTTAGTTTGGCTGGATATGAAATTCTGGGTTTAAAATTCTTTTCTTTAAGAATGTTGAATAT